AGGGCTAGTGCTAGGAGGACGAAGTCCAGTGATCCTTACAAGGCATACTGACGCTTCGTGGGCGGTTGACAATGTGACACGGAGGTCCTCCCAGGGCTAGTGCTTTAGCCTTGGTGCAGGCGCCATCTCGTGGAGGTCCACTCGCTTGTCGTCTGTTGGTGAGTCGAGCTGTGAGGCTGAGATCTACGCTGGTTCCATGGCGGCACACGAGCTCCGTTGGCTGACTTTTTTGCTCACAGACTTAGGTGAGCGGCCTAGCTCTGCCCCGGTCCTGTACGCTGACAACAGGGCCATGATCATCCTGTGTTAGGAGCCTAGACTGGAGGGCAGAGCGAAGCACATCCAGCTGCGGAACTTCCTCCTGCGCGAGCTACAGCAGCGCCGCCAGGCTCGCATAGTTCTCAAGGCCTCAGGTGCCAACACAACTGATATCTTTACGAAGGCGCTTGCGCCTAAACATTATCAGATGCACTGTTTACAGCTTGGTCTAGTTCCTGTAGTCTCTCAGTTGCTAGGACCGTGACTGTGTACTACTAATTATATTATCTTGATTAGCCTTGTGGCTCTTGTTCCAGTGGCTGGACTAGTAGTGCCGCCCTGAGTTACTCTAATTAGTTTGTACTCTTGCTGACTGGTCTTCGGACCCTTGCATCAGAGGTTGGACTAGTAGTGCTATGCTGAGCTGTGTGTCTCTCGCTAGTCAATTCCCCCTTGTCTTGCCTAGAGGGTGTGTCGACATATATTTTGTATATGTTATGGGCTAGCTAGGTGCATGCTCATATAGAGTACAACCCCTTAGGTTATATCCCCTTGTACCACCTCATTCTAGACAATTCGTTCTACGTTAAGAGTTTTGTTATATGGTGTTGCATTCTCTATGAGCATGCACCTATCTAGCCTATAAATCATATGTGGACAGTGATTGTGCTGGTGTTGCTGATTGTGCTGATATGCAACCTTTGACCACATTGATATCACTTAAAAGAGTTTTTATTGACTATTGAGGTATTCTTATAATGTTATTGTGATTAAAGAATGTTCTCATGGGGTATTAGTGTATACTATACATGCATCTCACACACCAAGTCTAGCGCACGTCTTATCCTAGTGGCATACAAGATAGTATGACATGAGGATTGCTGTAGCATTTGGTAGAGAATCCTTGGTCTTCCCAATCGCTGCATTTGCTATGTAATGGCAGTTGGTGAAATGGTGAACTATCTTCTTTCAGTAAAACATGCTTTTCACAATATTCCTTTATGTCAGCAAACAATTACAAAAAATGCACTACTCACTAGAGTTGGGAGCAGGCCCCCAAATTGCAGACTTTTTACTCTGATTCAGACTTTTTTCAGAGTTTTTTTGGGGGTGTACTCTGATCCCAAAGACTTTTTTTTTCTATGTTACTCTGATTTTTCAGAGAATTTTTATGTACCTACACTGATTTTTCAGACTTCTTGTACAAGTGTGCTCTGATGCTTCATCCTTGTATGGGGGGGGGGACTCTGATTCCTGTAATACCGTCAATTGAGGGGGGGTTGTGAGATTTGCGCTGGTACCTCTGTCGTCACCGTCAATCACGCCAGATTTACATTTGCGCTGGCGCGGGCCGAGCCGTCGGGCTGGCAAATTTTGTGCGATGGCGCCAGCACAGAGATAGTCCGAGCACCCGATTGGTCCTTGACCAAAACACGGCTGTTTTCGCCAATCCAGAGGCATTTTGCTGGGTGAGGCACAACAGACGAGGCACCGCACCCATGCTGACGCGACGAGTGCCTGGATCATTCATGCATGGACAGCATCTTGCGCGCCGCGATGGAGTTTCAGCTAGCAGACCCCCTCCTTCTCCACCAGTTCATTACTGACGCGGAAAACGACCATGCTTCTCCCCCCTCCAGCAAAACTTCACCCAAGCTTCGTGTAGCCCCTCGGTTTTCTTTCAGTGCGTTTGTTTTCCCACCGCGCCTGCATGCCATGGAGCAGGCCGACCTCGATGAGGATGTAGACGAGGCAGATTATGACGAAGAAGAAGAAGAGTACAGGTGTGCCGAGAATTTCCGCGATGGTCCCGCCGCACTAAAGTTCCTGCGGCAGTCGGATGCCTCAGATCGTAGCCCTCAGAGGAAGCCTAGTGACGCCGCCCCTGCCGATGGCGATGCACCTGTTCTCGACATAGCGGGCAAGAAGTCTGCGGATGCAAGCCCCCTGCCTGCTGCTTCAGCTCCTGTCGCTGGCACCACGTCGTCGGTGACTGCGGCGAAGAGGTTCCGGTACAGGCAGGTGATTCTGCCGTACGCCTCCACGTCGACATGCCATGATCCGCCTGAGCCTGTTCCGAGCCCCTTTGTACCTGCGAATATGCCCAAATCGTCTGGCGGTTGGTCCACTGCTAGAACGAACGAGGGCATCTATGCTGAGGCACAAGAGCGTTTCAAATCTCGCTGGTCTGACAGATTCCCTTGGCTCATGCTCTTGAAAACTGACGATGGCTCCCGGCCTTCAAGTGCAGTGTATGCGCAGTGCATGCAGGACCTGCAGGGCGTACCGGCAAATCGGGCAAGGGAGCAAAGGACGTGCAGACCCAGTCGTTCAAGAAGCACGCCGAGACGCAGAAGCATCGCCTCGCCATGTCCAAGCAGGACGATCTCCTGCAACTGGCGTCGAACCAGCAGCGGATCCACATGCATCCCCGCGCGGCCGACGAAGACAAGGAGCGAGTCATCGCGCTGCTCGACTCCCTCTACTTTTGCGCCAAGTGTAACAAACCCATGGAAACATGGATTCGTTTGGTGCGATACCTCTCATCGCGCAGTTTCAAGGGCTTCCCAAAGTCTGCCTACGGCACGTACTATAACTGGTGAGAACTCCAGTGACTATGAACTTCTCTCTGCCTCGTCTTTAGATATGAAACGTACAACAACTTGGCTTGTGCGTGTCATGTAACAGGTACGGCTTCGGCGAGCTGATACAAGCGACGGCAACGTGGCTGCAGACGACTCAACTCCAACACATGCTGGCGAGTCCCTACATTGGCCTGAGCCTCGACAAAAGCACCGATCGTTTCCGTGGCAAGCACATGATCGTGTTTGCCACGTTCGTCCGGGAAGGGCGGCTTGTAACCGAGTACCTGGCTCTGTTGACAGTGGATAAGGCGGATGCGGCATCGCTTCTCGCCCTCTTGTTGTCCCATCTGCAGGCGATTGGCGTCGACCTCGGCCGCATCTCTGGCATAAGCACTGACGGCGCTGCCGTCATGATGGGATCGCGCTCTGGACTTGTGGCCCACCTTCGCCTCCGCGTTCCGCACCTTGTCTCTTGCCATTGCATTGCCCATCGGTTCGTCATCCGTTTGCTGTGTGCATGTCATGTATATTTGCTTCTTGTTTTGTTTATAAGTCCAATCCCTAATTTGCTTCCTAGTTTGCATCTCATCTCCTTATCCCACGCAGAGAGGCGCTGGCGGCAAAGGCTGCTGCCGAGGAGATCCCTGTCTTCAGCATGGTGGACAACATCATTCGCGAGATCGCTGAGTTGCTCGGTCACTCCAACCCTTGGCATCAACGGTTCATGGAGCTCCAGGAGATGCTCATGTCGACGAACCTCGAGCTCCAGGGCATCCACAACATCCGCTGGCTGTCGCGCGGAGATGCGGTCATCCGCCTGGTCGAGGTCCTACCAGCCATCGTGGTCATGCTGCAGGAGTACGACGCCAAGCTGTACGCGCTCGTCACTAGTTACCACTTCTGCCTCCTCCTGATGTTCCTCGCCGACGTGCTGGAGCTGCTGAACGTCCTCAACAAGGTCTTCCAGCAGCGGGATGTAAATATGTTTAATGCTTGTCTTTGCATGCATGTCGATGTTGCTTGTCTCTGCCGCTCGTCCCTTAACCACACATCCGTCTGTGATGCCCTATCTCTCCTCGCCCCCCTACCCACTAGCTGGACTACACAACGGTGCACGCGCAGATCATCCGCACGACCTCACTGCTAGAGAGCCGCTACGTGGACTGCGGAGACGACTTCACTGGCGGGCCCAACGATCGATTGACGCGGTTCCTCGCCAAGCACGGGCCCGGCAAGTCCAAGCTAGTGACATTGGAGGGGATTGACTTCGGTGGCCGACCTTCACGGTTCACCTTCGATCTGCACGAAGAGCCCCAAGAGGACTACCCGGGGCCTGGCGACCACGATGGCGCTGTCGTGGCGTGCATGGCTCTAGCGGAGGGCCTGGTCCGCAACCTCGACGAGCGCCTAGGCGATCTGCGGCAGCTGTCGGGAGCGCGCCTGTTCAGCGTCGACACATGGCCGCCCAACTGGGACCGACAGGCACGGAGGACGCAGTGCCTCGAGTGGTTCAACTCGCTCGTGGTCATGTACCGCACTGAAGACAGGGACGAGATTCTGTCAGGTGAATCACCGTCTACTCCTTCCAGTATCCCTTCAGCAATGTATCTGAAACAAGACACCTATCGGTTTTCGATAATCCAACCCTTCTCCCTCTCCTTGTGTGCCCTTGTCTGATCAGGTATAGACAAACGCAAAGCCCAGAGCGAGCTCTGCAACTTCGTTCCCGTCCTTGCTGTGCTTCCCAAGGCGGACAAGGCATTCCATGCGGGGCTGAGCGCCATGCTCAAGACGCAGGACTGGAGGGACAGCTACCCCAACCTAGTCAACTTGTGGGTGGCGGTGGCTGTCCTTCCTTTGAGCACTGTCGAGTGCGAGCGCGGATTCTCCCACCAGAACGTCATCAAGAGTTGGTTGCGGGGGGCTCTCAAGGATACTAGGCTAGGAGATCTGATGTGCATGTCGCAGCTAGAGTATAACCCCGATTGGGACGAGGTGGTCATCATTTGGCGGGCTTATAAGAAGAGGAAGCCTCTTAGCAACGCCCTCCCCGAGGTCAGTAGCAGGTGGAAATGAAAAGAGAAAGTAGATGATGATATGCCAGCAGCGCCGCAGCAGGATATGTAGGATATCAACTGCTTCTGTGTGTGTAATTAAATGTATTGCTTTCTCTAATGAAGAATCATGAAAAAGTCTCATACAAAAGTTTGGCTATGACTGTGATTGGTCAGACAAAAAATCGAAAGCTATTCTGATTTTTCAGACTTTTTCAAGGAGGTAACTCTGACACCCATACCAAGGGAAGGCAGGGGACTCTGACGAATCAGACAGGCCCAAAACCAATTAGGGGGCCTGGTTGGGAGGGAAGTCACTCTTCGCAAGCAGCTTTGCAGACAGCAAATGGATGGCTCTCAAGTTTTCACCCTTTATGATAGAGCAACAGTCATATACAATAGTCCTTCCTAAATAGCCACGAGGCGCACACCAAAGGTCTTGGGTCCAAGCTCCTCTGTGATTGGACGGGGATGTGGGGAGGAGAAATCGGGCAACGAAGGCAGGCGAAAAAAGGGGCGGGAGGTGAAAGGGGAAGAGAGAAAGGGAATGAGATGGGCAGGAGTGAGAGGGGAATGAGAGAAAGGGAGGCCACATGACCATAAGCAGGGAAATGACTGCAACCACCAGCAGCCATCACCTGAGAGGTCCACACCAGTCAAAGCATGCACATGAGGCTGAAAGATGGGCGTCATCTTGGCCTGCCACCTTAGCCACATGACAATAAGAGCTAGGACCTCAAACCTGCCGCTGCCATGTGCCTCTCACTCTCTCTCTCTCCCCCTCACCAATCAAAGCTTGTATGCCAGGGCCAAAGAAGGACGTCATCTTGGCCTGCCACCTTGCCCTAATCGCAATACAGAGTGCGGTCAAGATAGCCAACCCCACGTTGTCTGCCCTCCCTCCCACACCAGTCAACCCTCCGTCCATCAGCTACCGTGCTCCTATCTCTCTCACCAGTCAAAGCCTGCACGCCAGGGCCAAAGAAAGACGTCATCTTGGCCTGTCTGTCCGTGAAGTCGGCCTTGGTCAGAGCAGGGGCCTCAAAGACCAGCAGCAGGGAGTAGCGCCCATTGTACACCTGGTGGTGGGTGGGGGTTGTAAGGGCGATTTAGAAGCCCAAAGATACAGGCTATCTTGGCCTGTCTCTCTGTGAACTGAGGCTTCGTGAGAGCAGGGGACTCGAAGATGAGCAGCAGGGAGTAGCACCTGGTGGCTTGAAGTGGAACGATTTGTTGAAGGGACATCGTTGCCAGCACTGGTTATTGTGCAGGCACTATAGGTCAGTGGGAGGGAAAAGTGGTACCTGGTGTGGTGTGGTGTGGTATGGTGGGGTGTAGTTGGGTGTGGTGAGGTGTGGTCTGTGGAAAGGACACAATAAACACTCGGACCAGGGGAAGCAAGGACCACAAGGAAGCAGCCGTCACTGTACACCTGATGCGCGCCATGTCATGGTTGAGTGTGCTGCAGTGGGTGTGGTGCAGTGTTCTGTGCGGTGGGGAGCGGTTTGGAGCGCAGTGTGCCGCGGTGGAAGGAGAGGGATCAGGTGTGCTGGGAGTAGAGGGATCCATCTGTGTAACGCTGGTGCGTGGCAGTGGTGACACAGCTGTGCATGCAGGCACATGTGCGCTCGTTAATATGTGCTTCACAACCTTATGCAGGGAATGCCACCTGTAACGAGATGAGTCATGCGTGCAGAGGTGGTGGGTGGTGGTGACACAACTTGTGTGCACAGAATGCCACCTGTACTGCCACACCACGTGGCACAAATATAAGAATCCTAAGAAATATCATACCAGGTGCAGCAAATGCCACCTTTGACGTGCTGATTGGTGAGATACAGCTATTACAGGGGAGTGACACGTGTAGTGCTATGCCAGGTGGTGCCGTTTTGCTCACCTATACAGTAATAGACGTGAGCATGGGTGCATTCCTGCGCTGAATGAAAAGGCGGGTCCACACAATCACCTGATAGAGCGCGGTGTTTTCCCAGTGCCCACCTGTTCGGAAATAGATGTGAGCGTGGGTGCGTTTCTGCGCTGAACGCCTCCAGACTGACACGGATTAATCCGAGGAGAATCAGAGGCGAACGGGTGGGGGGAGGGGGGGGAGAGGGGAGATGGGGAAAGGATGAGCAGAAGGGGAGGGTTTTAAGGGAGGCGATGGACTTCTCAGGCGTGTAAAATAGGGTGGCAGGGGCATGCTTGTGGACACTGAGGGCGACAAGGGAGACTGGGAAACATGCAGAGAGTAAGTGGACACCGCTGGCGCACAAGGAGAATTGCCTTATTTGAGGGGCTTCGAATGCAGACAGCGGAAGGGCACAAGGGGAAGCAAGGGCTCAAGTTCATTCGAATAGGAGTGTGTTACATGCGCACGGATGGGACACATGCGCACAAATGCGACACATGCAAACAAATGTGACACGTGCGCACGAATGTGTCACGTGCGCATGAATGGGACATGTGCGCACGAATGTGACACGTGAGCACGAATGGGACATGTGCGCACGAGTGTGACACGTGAGCACGAATGGGACATGTGCGCACGAGTGTGACATGTGCGCACGAGTGGGACACGTACGCGCGAATGTGACACGTACGCATGAATGTGACATGTGTGCATGAATGTGACATGTGTGCATGAATGTGACATGTGCGCATTCGTGCGCACGAATGTGACATGTGCACACGAATGTGACACGTGCACACGAATGTGATACATGGGCTCGCATAAGACCACCAGGTGTGGATTAGGATAGTGTCGGTTCTCACCAGGTTGAAGCGGAATATCCGCATGATAGAAGTAACTAAGATTCAACTTGGGAAAGTGCAGGTTTTCACGAGGTTGTAGCGGAATATGCTCTGCCTATGAGTCGACTCACCAGGTTGTAGCGAAATATACTCTGCTTTGAGTCAACTCACCAGGTTGTAGCGGAATATACTCTGCTGTGAGTCAACTCACCAGGTTGTAGCGGAATATGCTCTGCTTTGAGTCAACTCACCAGGTTGTAGCGGAATATGCTCTGCTTTGAGTCAACTCACCAGGTTGTAGCGGAATATTCTCTTCAGCGCTTCCTCCAGGTGCTGCTCGTCTCCGTAGCGAAACCGAGTGACGTCACTGCGCACCTGGGTTGGTATGTCAGAAGGAGAGGGAGCAGCACAGGGGGAGAAGGAGAGGCAGATGAATTACTTGAGTATGCACTCTCTTGAGCGCTTCCTCCAGGTGTCGCTCGTCTCCGTAGCGAAACCGAGTGACGTCATCGCGCACCTGGGTTGGTGGGAGAAGTGGAAGCCTGGGGAGCTTGAGACAGGAAGAACATGCATTGGGAGCACGGGGGGGGGGGGGGTGGGTGTCTACTCTACGACCTGAAGGACGCACACCACACCACGTATCTCACTCACCTGCTTCGGAATGGGCGGGGCCTGAATGCTCCCTCAGAGCCTTTCTAGTCAACGGCACACACCACACCACACCACACCACAACACACCACACCACACCACACCACAACACACCACACCACACCACAACACACCACACCACAACACACCACACCACACCACACCACACGCAGCACAGGTTGGACGTGGCCTGGGTCGGCCTCAGGATCATTCAAGTTAACAATCCACAAAACACCACACCACTCCACGTGCCTCTCACTCACCTGCTTGAGGATGGGCGTGGCCTGCTGCTCTCTCTGCGCCACACTAATGAAGGAGTCAAGTCCACACAAGCACCCGCGCTACACCCAGCAGTGAAGGAGTCAAGTCGATACAAGCATCCACACCACGCCACGTGTCTCTCGCTCACCTGCTTGAGGATGGGAGTGGCCTGCTGCTCCCTCAGCGCCACAGCGTCAGCATACGAGGTGCATGGCACTGGCTTCAGCTCTGCGTACTGCGCGTAAGTAGAGATGGAAAAACATCATACGGGGTAACGTATATTGAGGGTAGTGCAAGCGGGAAGCAATTGCCTTGAGCGCGAATCCGATCAGTGCAAGCGGGACGCTGTAGGAGAGCATGAGCGCGGACGACTCAACTCAAAACCCTCTCCCGCCCCCACCCCACACTTGCTTGAATACTGCAACCCATTATATCGCCTACCTAGAGGGCGAATCCGATCAGTGCGAGCGGGAAGCCGTAGGTGAGCATGAGCAGGGACGACTCAGAGCCTCATCCCCCCCCCTCCTCCTCACACACACTTGCTTGCATATCTGAAACCTTCAAATCGCGTACCTTGAGGGCGAATCCGATCAGTGCGAGCGGGAAGCCGCAGGTGAGCATCAGCGCGGACGACTCTGAGCGTCTCTAAGGCCCCTGCTCGTATTTAATTAACACAACCTCTTCTATCGCGTACCTTGAGGGCGAATCCGATCAGTGCGAGCGGGAAGCCGTAGGTGAGCATGAGCGCGGACGACTCGGAGCCGGGGAGGAACTGGAAGTAGGCGCCGAAGCCGTAGGAGAGCAGCAGCAGACCCACTGTGAGCCCGATGGTGCCAAAGGACGTCTGCAGCGAGGGGGAGAGGGGGAAGAGAGGGGGAGGGGGGGGGGGGAGAGGGGAGGGGGGAGAAGAAGGGAGGGCAGGTGGGCATGAAGCATTTGGAGCCTGGGAGGGAGAAGCTGGAAGTAGGCGCCGAAGCCGTAGGAAAGCAGCAGCAAACCCACTGTGAGCCCAATAGTGCCGAAGGACGTCAGCAGCGAGGGGAGGAGAGGCAGAAAGGCGCCGAATTCGGAGGGCAGCAGGGGGAGGGAGGGGGGGAGAGAGGGGATGGGGAAACACCGAGCAGGGCTTGGAACGGTGTTGCCGCCATAAAAGAGCAGTAGCAGGAGACCCACTGTGTGGCCGGTAGTGCCAAAGGACGTCTGAAGCGAGGGGGAGAGGGGGAAGAGAGGCGGATGATTTGAAATGCTGCCATTGCTTTGACGAAAAAGCACGGCGTATGTTGTTTAGTGTCGTCAAGTTAAGACGTAATAGTGAGCGAAGTTACGCGTTGCCACTCGTCCTATCCTTGCGTTCGGTTAAACAATAAGCAATTGCTCAAACGAAACATATTCCGTGAAATCGTCGATCATTCAAGCCACAGGAATCGCATAAGCTTGCAGAATCGTCCATCCGCAACAGTCCGCAATTGTACGCTACAATCTAACTTGTCTATGTCCAGACGCTGTACTCTTTAGTCTGACCATATGGTTAGTAATTCAGCCAGCTGGCGAATACTCGAAGCAGCTAAAAGCGCACCTTACTGATGCTCAGCTCCGTGTCAGCCACGCCGACCTCATCCTTAATAACTTAGTAAAAGCCACCTGTAAAAAGTGTCTTAAATCGCCTATTACGCGTACCTTAAATCGCCTATAACGCGTACCTTGGTGATGCTCATCTCTGAGTCAGGTACCAAAACGTTGTTCTTGCTCACGAGCGACGCATCGAACGACGCCGGCTGAGATTCAGCCGTCTCCGTTGCCGGCTGACCGTCTGACGCGGCACGCACCGCCAGAGTTGACGGCCGGCAGCGGCTGACGGCTGTCTGCCGGTAGAGCCGCATTGCCGGGCGTGCTGTAAGGCTCATTCGCGATTGGACATTTTGTTGCGAGGCGACATTCGCGACGGCGAATGCTGGCGACGCGAGCGACGAGGAGACGACAGCTTGGGCCGCCATTGTGACTGACAGATTCGCAAAACGGGTTCTCAATACTACAAATTACCGTCACAGAATAATGAAACTAAAAGCTTGAGAATCCTGAACGTCCCGTCACGTCACGGCTGGCACTGGCTTCAGCGTCAGAAATTGTATGCTCTGGCGTCCAGTTTGACTTCGAAAATTTCTCTCCTTCAGTTCTCTCTTACTGCTTTAGGTACTTGGGGTGGGGATTGTCAAATCAGGCCAGGATTCCCGAGGCTGGAAATTGGCTGAAGGGGAGGAGGGTGATGAAGGGCCTTGGGACTGCCGCGTAGTGCCCTGTACCCCTTGGGATTGACGAATGCGTGGAGATTTGCGAGTCTGACGGTGGATGAGGCATCGGAAGCCACTCGCTAAATCAGAAGCGCAGCGTGGCAGGCTCTTGATTAGCCACGTGGCATGGGCTTCGTGTGCAGGGGGAGACCAGTGGGCGTGCAAAACTCGCGAGAGAGTCAAAAAACGAAACTCAGAAAAATCGCTCCCAGGTGGGCTTGAACCACCGACCTTATGGTTAACAGCCATACGCTCTAACCAACTGAGCTACGAGAGCTGTCTATCCATTGGAAGTTATTCACTAATTATATTTTAGATTAACAGCTGATAGGCTTGTTCCCTGACCATATTTCAAGCGTCCTGAGTTTCTCCATCAAGTCATAGAGACACGTCATCCACAAGCGATGACGCCGATCGGAACGAGGTGTAGCAGTGATGGGAGTCCACTCGCAATGCAGTGTTAAACCCGAACTCCTGACGTCTAAACTCTCGTGAGCAGCGAGGGGGGTCCACTAACAATGGACGACGGCGAGTGGAGCGAGGTGCCGTCTCGCCAGGCGGCACGGGGAAGAGGCGCGCGCCAGCAGCAGCGACAGCAGCCTCCGCAGCTGATTCGTCCTCAACTCGCGCCTTCGGCCGGAGTTCTCGGGCCAAATCCCGCGTTTAGCGGCCCCGCGGCAGCGCAGGCGCGCGGAAGTGGCGGCGGAGATCGCGGAGGAAGAAGCGGGCAAGGTTCTGAAAGAGGGGGAGGTAGGGGCGGGGGCGCTAGCGCTGGCGGCGGAACTGTAGGCGGACGCGGAAGGGGAGGGGCTGGAGGTGGGGGAATTGTCGGGGGAACTGGCGCAACCATTGGCGCAAGTTCCAATTGGTCTGGCGGAGGCGGGGGGAGCGGAAGGGGAGCAGGCAGAGGAGGCGGCGGCGGCGGAGGGGGAACAGGGGGGTGGGGACCGAACCGTAGCGGGGGTGCTGGGATCGGGAGCAACAGTGCCAGCAGCAGCAGTGGCAGCAGCAACAGCACCACTGCTCCCGCTCCGTCTGCTGCGGCTCTTGCTGTTACGAGTACTGCTACTGCTGGCGGCTTCCCCACTTCCGCCGCTTTCCCCCCATCTTCCGCCTTCCCCCAGTCTTCCGCCTTCCCCTCCGCCATGCGCCCGCTCCCCTTCATCACGGACCCCGCGCGCCTGGCGCAGCAGTTCCCCTCGCTGCTCTCCGACAGCAGCGACGAGGAGGGGGAGGGGGACGAGTTGGACGCGGAGGGGGAGGGGGAGGGCGGGGAAGGGGGAGGCGCATCTGGGGGAGGGCGATCTAAGGCGAAAGCTAGCGTGGAGCGGCTAGAAGAGGCGATTTTTGGGGCGTATCTGACAGGTCGGGGAGGGGGGAGAGGAGGAGGGGCAGGAGGAGGAGGGGGCAGGGGGGCAGGTGGTGTGATTTCCGAGCCTGTTTCTGCCGAGCCTGCGTTCACAGCAGGTCTGGAGAAGATCCGGGACCACCTGAACGCCGTCCAATCGGGCGGCGCCAGCTGTCTGGTGTGCCTGGAGAGGATCCGATCGTCCGATCCGGTCTGGTCGTGCCAGGGCGGCTGCTACTGTTCATTGCATCTTGTCTGTATTCAGTCGTGGGCCAGACAAGGCATCCAGGCCTCCTCCCTCAACTCCTCCTCCTCCTCTTCCTCCTCTTCCAAGGGCCTATCAGGAACTGCCACGTGGCACTGCCCCAAGTGCCGAACCGAGTATCCCGAGGCTGAGTTGCCTCGGGAGTACCGGTGCTACTGTGGGCGGGTGAAGGACCCCCCCTTCGACCCCTGGCTCGCCCCCCACTCCTGCGGGGAACCATGTGAGAGAGAGCTGAGGGGAGGGGGGGGAGGGGGAGGGGGAGGGGGAGGGGGAGGGGGAGTTGTAGGGGGGAAAAGGGGACGGCAGGGAGCAGAGGGAGGGGAGGAGGGGAGGGAAGCTGACGTGGCGTGTGGTCATAGGTGCACGTTGCTGTGTCATCCTGGCCCCTGTCCTCCGTGTCCGCAGCTCATTCGCTCCCGGTGCCACTGTGGCAAGAAGGAGGATGTTGCCCGCTGCGGGCAGCACGAATTTTCCTGTGCTGCCCGCTGCGCCCGCCGCCTCGCCTGCGGCATCCACTCCTGTGACGCCACGTGTCATCCGGGCAGCTGCCCTCCCTGCAGCCGAGAGGGAACCTTTTCTTGCCGATGTGGGCAGGTGAAAAAAACCCTTCCCTGTGCCGAGCGTGATTTCAGCTGTGGGAAAATCTGCGGGAAAAAGTTTCCTTGCGGGCGGCACAAGTGCGAGGTGGAGTGCCACGCAGGGGAGTGCGGGGACTGCCCGCTTTCGGGCAGGCGGAGCTGCCCGTGCGGGAAAAAATCGTACGAGGGGCTGCCCTGCGACAAGCCGGCCGTGCCGTGTGGGGCAACATGCGAAAAACCTTTGGCTTGCGGGCGGCATGTGTGTGCGGAGCGGTGCCACGTGGGAGAGTGCTCCAAGACGTGTCTCATAGTGGTGGTGAAAGGGTGCCGCTGCGGCGGCGTGAAAAAAGAGGTGAGGTTTCATGAGGTAAGGGCGTGTTGAATAAGGGGTGGGTGGGTGCGGAGAGAAATGCCACGTGGAAGAGTGCTCCAAGACCTGCCTGATTGTGCTGGTGAAGGGCTGTGGGTGTGGCGGCGTGGCTAAGGAGGTGAGGGCTGGAGTCCTTTCTGGAAAAATATATAAAATAGGGGAGGTAAGGTTGCACTATGTATGGGCGCTTTGAAAAAGGGCACAGGGCACAGGGCAGAGGGCATGGGCTGTTTGGCTTGCACACGGCATATGTGTGTGGAGAGGTGCCATGTGGGGGAGGGGGAGTGCTCCAAGGCGTGCCTTATTGTGGTGGTTAAAGGGTGCCGGTGCAGTGGACTCAGTAAAGCGGTGAGAGGTGTCGGTGTGTCTTATCGTAGTGAGTGATTAGTAATGATAAGACACACATGACTTGTGAGGAGGTGGTTGTCTCGGTGCATGCCATGTGTGTGCGGAGCGGTGCCGATCCGTGTGATAGCAATTTCGTGCGGAGCGGTGCTGCCGAACGCTGGCTTGCAGTTTTACACAACTGTTTGTCCTACTTGTTTCAACCGACTGCCAGCGCTGTGCACACTGGACGAATGCCCGACGTGTGTGCGGCGCAGGGCCATGGGGCGGAGTGCTCCAACCAAGTAGTACCTTATCGTGGTGGTTAAGAGTCTATTTTTTAGGCGCCTCAAAAATAGACCCCTCACGCGGGGAGTGCTCCAACCAAATAGCACCTTATCGTGGTGGTTAAGGGGTGCCGGTGTGGCGGATAGACTCTCGAGGCGAGTTTTCACTAGGTAAGGGCGACGACGTTGCAGAGCACATGCGTGTGCAGGGGGGAGGGGGGGGGAGGGGGGGGAGAGGAATGTTCGAAGCTGTGTGTGAGGGGAGGGGGAGGGGTGTTGGGGGGGGAGTGTGTGGTGGTTGAGAGGTGCTGGTGTGGCGGATAGACTCACGAGGTGAGGTCCCAACCCAACACCAAGGGGTGAAAGAAAGACTCTAAGAGGTCACTGTTGTGTCGACTCAAAAGACTGTCGGTGGTAATTTTGGCATTTTTGGCATTCGTGTAGTGCGGAGAGTGGTGCTATTTTTGAGGCTAGGAAATGGACATGTTTGTGGGAGGGAGCGGTGCCATGTGGGGAGTGTGTTTCAAAACGTGCCGTATCATTCAACGTTTTACGATCTAGTACTTTAGGGGTTAGGGTTTCGGGTTTAAGGCGGCAGGCTGGGGGGGTAAGTCAGTCAACGGCCGCATCACCATATCTCCTCCTCCCGTACCACTCCCGTACCTGTGCAAGCGCTGCTGCCAGCGTGGGTAAGCCGTGTGGGTCAGCGTGTCGGGCTGTGCTCCCCCCCCCCCCCCCCCCCCCCCCCCTCTCTCCCACCCCTCCAGCTCCCCTGCCACCAGGAGTACCTGTGCGAGTGTCGCTGCCAGCGTGGGTGGGTGGGTAGGCCGTGTGTGGGGTTCAACCCCTCTCTCACCCCCTCCTCCTCCTCACCCCCTCCCACGTTTGCCTCCTCAACCCCACAACCGCCCCTCCCTTCTCTCCGCCAACTCGCAGCTCCCATGCTGGAGTACCTGTGCGAGAGTGGAGTCGTTTTTGAGAATTATAAAAAATGACTCCACCTGCCACCAGGAGTGGAAAACGAAGGACCCCCCAACACCCCCACCCCCCCCCTACTCCAGCTCCCCTGCCACCAGGAGTACCTGTGTGAGCGCCGCTGCCAGCGCGGCCGGCCGTGTGGCCGCCACCTGTGCAAGCGACGCTGCTGCGCCGGTGACTGCCCTCCCTGCCCTGAGGTAGTAGTTCTCTCCATAATGGCTGGAGGTTCTTTTTATGATGCTTGGAGGTTCTTTTTATGATGCGTGGAGGTTCTTTTTATGATGCTTGGAGGTTCTTTTTATGATGCTTGGAGGTTCTTTTTATGATGCTTGGAGGTTCTTTTTATGATGCTCGGAGGTTCTTTCCATATCGTCGGTCAGGCCCAGGGCTAGTCCCCTCAGGTGCATCGGTTTTGTGCTGTGATGCCGACCGCCCTCCCTGCCCCAAGGTTATAGTAATGTTGAATAGCCTTGATGCCTATCCGCCCTCCCTTCCCCAAGGTTATAGTAATGTTGAATAGCCTTGATGCATATCCGCCCTCCCTGCCCCAAGGACCGCCCTCCGAAAGTTGTATGGCCCGTGCAAATGATTTTGCTGCCCTTGCAGCGGCCCACCACTTGGCAGCAGGCTGCATGCCACTTGTGCTTTAGGATTGTCATTTTTGCATGGTTATCTTCCTTACTCTTTTTCCAGCACTTCCTCTGCGTCTTCACTCACTCTTGATTTGCCTTGTTCCACTCTCTAAGTTGAGTCTTGCTGCTTTCGTTTGAATCAAAAAGCATTTCTTCTCATGCTGCTTTCTTTTGTGCTTCCACCAGATGTGCGGTCGCAAGTTACGGTGTGGTAACCACAAGTGCCCCGCGCCTTGCCACAGGTCAGCTGAGCGTGCTACTGTTCACAAGATACTGTTCATACAGGACTGGGTGTGCAGCACTGTCCATACGACACTGTTCATAGGACACTGTTCATGAAGCACCGTTGACAGCAACACTCTTCACAGCTGCAGTTGATGGCACAAATATCAAGTGTCTGCTTGCGTGTGCCTCGCTCTCTCCCTTTTCTCTCCAGTCTCCTCCTTCTCCCCCTCTCTCCCCTCTCCCCTTCTCCCCCTACTCCCCCTTCCCCCCCCCCCTCTCCCCCTTCTCTCCCAGCTCTCCCCTCTCTCCCCCTTCTCCTCTCTCCCCTCCTCTCCCTTTTCTCCCCCTTATCTCTCCTCCCCACAGCGGCCCCTGTGCCGCTACCCAGTCATTGTACGCTTCGCTTGCTTATCCTGCTCCCTGCTCCCCCCCCGCCGCCCACACCCCCCACCCCACACTTCGCTCTTCCCCCCACCACCTCTCCTCTTCCCTATCCTCTCACCCCGGTTCCAGCGGTCCCTGTGCCCCCTGCCCTGTCACTGTGCGCATTGCTTGCTTCTGTGGCTCCACAGCTTTTTCCGTGAGTCTCTATGTGTGGTTGCAATCTAATCAATGTTCCTTTCCTTGACTTTTGAGTCGACTCAAAAGTCACCTATGTATGGTTGCAATCCAATCAATATTTTTTTCCGTGGATTCACAAAGACACAGATGCCTTGTCTGTGGGTCAATGCGCACCCTCTTCATATACTGCTCTCTCCCCTTCACTGCTCTCTCCCCTTCACTGCTCTCTCCCCCTCACTGCTCCCTCCCCCTCACTGCTCCCTCCCCCGCTCTGCTCTCGCCCCCTTTCTGCTCTCGCCCCCTCTCTGCTCTCTCCCCCTCTCTGCTACATGCCTCAGGTTCCCTGTGGGTGGGGCAAAGAAGCAGCAGCGCCCACCCACCCCTTTATCTCACACCGTGCCCCCCGACTCACACCGTGCCCCGACTCTCCTCCCTTTGCCCTCTGGCCCTCAATGCAGGTCCCCTGTGGCGCGGAGAAGCAGCAGCGCCCACCCAGGTGCCACATGCGCTGCCCCGTGCCCCCCACATGCCACCATGGCGCTTCCTGTAGGGTGGGTTATGTGTTACCATGTCATATGCCACATGCCACATGCCATGTGCCACATGCCACATGCCACATGCCACGCCACATACCCCATGCCTTATACTCCATTCCCCAGGCCTGGAAGGATCCTTCCCCTCTTTATCCCCCCTGTTCCATACAATCACACCCCCATCGTTGTCACTACGGAGCTTGCACCCCTTGCAGCCTCCCCTGCGGCCAGCCGTTTGACTGCAGGCCAGGCCATCAGTGCCCCTTCTCCTTCCTCCCTCTCCTTCCTCCCCCCCCTCCCCCCCCCGTCCTCCCACACATAATCGCAGCCCCATCGGTGTCACTACGGCGCTTGTCCACCTTGCAGCCTCCCCTGCGGCCAGCCCTTCAACTGCAGCCACTCCTGCCCTCTCAGGTGTGCTTTATGCGCCCTCACCTCAGGTGCTTCCTCAGGTGCTGCTTCAGGTGTCCTCTCAGATGTGCCTTACCCCTTAAGCGCCTATTCCTTTTGTCCTCTCAGGTGTGTGTCTTCTTGTCCTCTTTATACGCCCAGCCCCTTGTGACACACCTGCTGTCGCCACACCTGCTGTCGCGACACCCTTTCCTCCCTTTCTTCTTCCCACCAGGTGTCATGACTCTCGCCCTCCGCCCAACCCACCGTTCTCCCTGGAGCCACCCAAGAAGAAGAAGAAAGGGAAGAAGGAGGGCGAGGAGGAGGAGGGGCAGGGGAAGCAGGGGTCGCCATGTCCCCCCTGTGTGGTGCCAGTGGTGCGGGAATGCAGGGGGCGACACCAGGGGCAGGAGTGCGAGGTGAGATTCGTTAAAGGAAGTATGAGTCAAGGTAAGGTCAGAGAGGGAGGGCCAGAGGAAGCAGGGGGCTCTGTGCCGTGCCCCCCCCTGTGTGGCGCCGGTGGTGCGAGAATGCAGGGGGCGACACCAGGGGCAGGAGTGCGAGGTGAGATTGAAGGATTATAAGTAAGGCAAGCATACATAGGAAGGCAAGGCAAGCATACATTGGAAGGCAAGCATACGTAGGAAGGCAAGCATACATAAGAAGGCAAGCATACATAGGAAGGCAAGCATACATAGGAAGGCAAGGCAAGGATACATTGGAAGGCAAGGCAAGCATACATTGGAAGGCAAGCATACATAGGAAGGCAAGCATACATAGGAAGGCAAGCATACATAGGAAGGCAAGCATACATAGGAAGGCAAGCATACATAGGAAGGCAAGCATACATAGGAAGGCAAGCATACATAGGAAGGCAAGCATACATAGGAAGGCAAGCATACATAGGAATGCAAGCATACGTAGGAAGGCAAGCATACATAGGAACGCAAACATACATAGGAAGGCAAGGCCAGAGGGAGAGAGAGGAAGGGAAGCACACGTCGCCGTGCCCCTTGTGTGTGATGGCATGGCTGTGAAAGAATCTCAAAAGTTACATTAGCAGTGGGAATACAAGCATACATAAGAAACAAGAGAAGCTAGAGAAGGAAGGGTGAACAGTGCCACTAGCAGTTGGGTAGACCCAAGGAAGTTGGGTTACCCAACCAACAGTGTTACCCAACCAACAGTGTTACCCAACCAACAGTGTTACCCAACCAACACTGTTACCCAACCAACAGTGTTACCCAACCAACAGTGGTTGGGAAACCCAATGACCACTGGTGCCGATTGTGGTTGGTTGGACCAATCGCAATCGGTCCCAACCATTGTGGTCTTGGTGCTCGGGGGCTCCAACCACCAGTGGGTTGGATTAACACGGGGAGGAGTGCGAGTTGAGGATAAAGGAAGAGATGGCATGGCCTAATAGCAAGGTACATCCCAGCTCTGTTTCTCCCTCGCGGCAAGGAAATCCCTTCCCCCCCAGAACCTTCGTTCCCCCTCTTTTTGTCTCTTCTTTCATTACCGCCTGGTAATCCTCCTCCCTCTCTTCCCCTCTCCCCCCGTTTCTCCATTGAGTCGACTCAAAAGTCAGAAGGCATCCCCTGAACCCTCTTTTTGAGTCGACTAAAAAATGGACTCATTACACACGGGTCGCCCCCTGAACCCTCTTACCCCCTCTTTTCGTTTCCTCTTTCATTATGGCAACCCTCTTCTCTTCCCCCCTCCCCCCTTTCTTCTCCCCCACATCCCAGCTCCCCTGCTCTCACGACCCTGCTTTCTCTTGCAAGTTACCCTGTGGTAACCCCTTGGCAGGTGGTAACCACACACACACATAGTAACTTCACTCTCTCTTTCCCCCCCCCCCTTCCCTCTCCCCATCCCCAGCTCCCCTGCTCTCACGACCCTGCCTTCTCATGCGAGTTACCCTGCGGTAACCCCCTGGCATGTGGTAACCACGCGTGCCAGTTGGCATGCCACGTCATCACCCACCCGCGCACAGCGGACGGTCAGAGAGTGCTGGTGACTGGGGGGGAAGAGGAGGGGGGAGTGAGGGAGGTGGAGGAGGGGAGTGTGGAGGGGAGGGGATTGCGTCGTGACACGTGCTTCCCTTGCAAGCGGCAGTGTCAGAAGGTGACTGGCTGAACCACCACCACTGGTCTGCTCACATGCTGATTGCCTATTTCACTTCTGCCTCAATCACTCTTACATTCGTCTACCCGCTTCACCACATCAATAGTTTGACCCACCACTGGTCTGCTCTCCCTTTTCACATACAAGTGTTCCTGCTACTACCCATTTCTTTTTTCTTTTTTTCATCGGGCAGCCCAGGGATCCTCCGTGCGCGCATCCCTGCCCGGAGCGGTGCCATTTGGGCAGCTGCCCACCATGCAAAAACCTTTTAAGAAAGCGCTGCTACTGTGGCATTATGACCCATGCCATCGAATGCGGCCAATGGGGCGCCGCCAGCGATGCAGAGAGAATCCGAATGGTTTCCTGTACTGGTCCCTGCCACAAGTGAGTCTTGCAGTTAGATGTTTTGGATGAAGCGGTATTTTTTAGGATTCTCAAAAACATCCTGCACAATATGTGAAGGCTAGAGCCAGTATGGTGTCCTGTACTGGTCCCTGCCTCAAGTGAGTCTTGAAGCTTGTTTTAATGAAGCGGTAACATATGTGAAGGCTAGAGCGGCGCCGGCTAGGTACCATGACCCACGCCATTGAATGCGGCAAATGTGGCACTGCCACGGAGGCAGAGAGATTTCGAAGGGTGTCCTGTACTGGTCCCTGCTAAAAGTGAGTCATTCAATCTAGGGTTTGATAGTCCGCAAAGCTGTGTCGCTTGTTCACGATTCAGAAATTTGCGGTTCTTTCCACAAAGTGTGACATGCCCAAGCCTCCTTTTCTGCACTCTCCTTCTTCCGCCATCTGTAATGCTCCAGGAAGCTTCCATTCTGTTCGCACATGTGTGTGGAGATGTGTCATCCTGGACCCTGCCCCAAGCCCACACAGTGCCGCAAGAAGGTGGGCTGCTGTATCTGTGTCTGTAAGTAAAGGTGTATGCATCCGTGTGCTTGTTCTTGCACATCCAAGCCAACGCAGTGCCGCCTGCCAACACATCCCTCCACCATCTCCTTTGCACTCTTCAACTGGTAACAGTGCACTGCTCCTCCGTCTGAAAAAGGAGTGGCTCTGCTCCCAAGTGCCAGCCGGCCAAGAGAGGGTCCCTTGTGCTTACAGGCTCTAACTTTTTCTTGTCGCCCCCTTCACTCTCACCCACGCATTCTACAGGTAACTGTGCGCTGTGCGTGCCTTCGACTCAAAAAAGAGTGGCTCTGCTCCCAAGTGCAAGCCGCCACTGCCAAAGCTGCAGCCGACGGCACAAGCAACACCGCCAGCTCCACCAGCACCACCAGCACTGCAAGCACCAGCACCAACGGCAGCAGCAGCAGTGGGAGTGTTGGTGGCGCTGTGGGTGTGAGAGTGCGGGAGTCGATGGTGGGGGTGGGGCTAATACCATGTGACGAAGAGTGCAGGAGGATACAGGAGGTGGAGAGGAGGAGGCAGGAGGAGGAGGAGAGGCGGGAGGCAGAGAGGAAGGCAGTAGCAGCAGCAGAGGCCGAGAGGCTGCGGCTGGAAGCAGAGGCTGCGGTGAGTGGCTGAAGTGACTGATCTGGCTGGTGTTATTGTGTGCCTCAGTGAGTGGCTAGCACGTTTTGACTCGAAAGGCAGTAGCAGCAGCAGAGGCCGAGAGGCTGCGGCTGGAAGCAGAGGCTGCGGTGAGGGGCTGAAGTGACTGGTGTCCTTCTGTAGTGTTTTTACTGTCTTTGTGTCCTTCGCGCACAAAGACAGGCTGCAGCAGCCACAGCAACTGCAGTCTTGCCGCTTCTTCTGTAGTGGTTTGATAGCACCTAGACAGGCAGCAGCAGCAGCAGCTGCAGTCTTGCGGCTTCTTCTGTAGTGGTTTGATAGCACCAAGGCAAGGCAGCAGCAGCAGCATCAGCCGCAGCAGAGGCTGAGAGGCTTCGACTGGAAGCAGAGGCTGCTGTGAGTGGTTGATGTGATTCAGTGTGTGTCTAATGTGCTGCTAGTTGCGCTGCTGGTGTTGATCGTGTAACAGTTGCAGCGGGATGGTCTGATGGTTAACTCATGTCGCACGGGATGCATGGCGGTGCCCTTTCCCTTTCACCCCTTACCATGACATAGTTAAAGCCCGTAGCCCAAATTGTTCATACGCAAAGCCCGTGGCCCAAATTGTTCATACGCAAAGCCCGTAGGCCGTATGGACGTGAGCAGTGAGTTTAGCGAATCCTGAGAAAGTATCGCAAAGCCACGAAATGTCGCTGCCATAAGTAGAGAGGTGGTTGCTGGCAGCCAATCACCAGCATTTGTTTTGGTTGAGGAATCAATCGCGTTCTGGCTGCTGAAATAGGTTCCGTAAAATAGCTTCATTTTGGGCCATCCGACGTAAGACCGATCCGACGGCCCAAATCCAAAAAGCTGAAAGTTTTGAAATCGACGGCCTTCAGTCAGATCAGAACCGATTTGAATATCCGAGCTAGGTAAATCTCGACCATCGGTTTCAGAGAAGTGTTGTGTGTTTGCCGAGTCCCAAAACGCTGGCTGTTTCAACTTCAGTGTCTGTAGAGAGACTTTCACAGGTCGCAAACAACACATGTCAGTTCTAGTAAATCCTCCCACTGCCCCTTTCAAACGCAGTGCGTTTGAAGCCTTGGGCTTGCAATCCGGGCTGTGGGCTTTAAGTAGGCTTGCTTTGAGACGTCTCAAAACTGATGCTTAACTCATGTCGCACGGGATGCATGGCGGTGCCCTTTCACCCCTTGCGATGACATGGACGGATATGATATCTCATGGCGCGGTTTCATATGGGATGGCATGGTATGGCATGTCATGTGATGGCATGGCACGGCATGGTATGGCACGGCATGGCATGGCACGGCATGGCATGGCACGGCATGGCATGGCACGGCATGGCATGGCACGGCATGGCATGGCACGGCATGGCATGGCATGGCATGGCATGGCACGGCATGAGCAGAGGGGAGCACGGAGGAGGAGAAGGAAGACAGCAGCAGATGACGACGATGCTTCCTCCTCCTCCCTACTTGTAAGCTCGCAGTCTTATCACACTTTGTTTTCTTGTGTATAGTTTCCCATTTCCCCTTGCCGCTCCCTTCCTCTCTCTCCTTGCGGGCCCTCCGCCCTCCTCCATTTCTTGTCGCACGTCTCTTCTGGTTCCCATCTTCAACGTTTCATGCCTCTCTCCATGCGCCGCTGGGCTGCCGACATCACTCTCATTTGCTTCCTCCTGCTGCTGCTGCGTGCTGCTGCGTGCTGCTGCCTGCTGCTGCGTGCTGCTGCGTGCTGCCGGGGCGGGGCCCAAGCATCACTCATCTCTTACCCCATTTGATCACCCATCCCCTGATGGCCTCCCTCTTCTCCCTCCTCCAGCGCTTCATCCCCCCCGCTGTGCGTCGCTGGGCTGTCATCATCCCGCGAGTTTGCTTCCTCCTCCTTCTGCTTCTCGCTGCTGGGTTGGGGCTCAAGACTCCTCTGCCCATCAGTCCCACGCATTTCTATTTCCAATCTCCCTCTCTTCCCTCCCTCCAGCGCTTCATCCCTCCCGCTGTGCGTCGCTGGGCTGTCATCATCATGCTAGTTTGTTTTTTCCTTATGCTGCTGCTCGCTGCTGGGCTGGGGATCAAGGCGCTTTCTGACTGGATGAACGAGCGGGACAGTCACCGCCCTAGAAAGCCGTTCCGTTACACATATTAGCTTCCACTTGTATTCATTACATTCATTGGTTATGTTGGCTCTTGGCCGAACATACCATACCATACCACTCCTCGAAGAATAGACCTGTGGCTAGGTTGTCTCGGCACAAAATATCAACACTAATTGTGTTTATGACAAAGCCGATGTGATGCGTTACGGCAGGGCGCCATCTGTGCTCTCCAGGTGGCAACACTGCGAAGCAAGCATGCCGGCCTTAGATCGCGTACTATTGCAATTCTTGCCCACATAAATGAGATTATGTGGAGAAATCTTTTATTGTGGCTGTATCTCGATATCTATTGCGCCACACGTTCGAAACCATGGTTGCATTAACCGACTCGCTTTTAACGGGTTCACGGCCTCAGTAAAACCCCCACAAGCTGCCGCAGTTTTTCTTACTTGCTGCGCTATGGCACTAAGTACGGCGTAGTAGGCTTTACTAGACCGCAGTTGGGGGTATTGTGTTTTACACTGAGCAATCAACACCCTTACGTTGTTTTCTCCCTCCCTAAATACCTTCTTATTAACCCTTACGATCGCAGAGCTAAGTCTGATATCCCTCTGCGACTCGCAACCGCTCCTGGACCCCAGGGTTTAGAACTTCTGGGTTTGTCGCAAAGTTTCTGTTTAGACTAAGTACCGGCGCGCCGGCCATCCAGTTTATGCCGGTTAAAAATCTGGTTGCGATTTTATCGATTGCGACTATACCGGGAGCGGCTATAACGGGGATTCGTGATCGAGCGGAGCGATGGGCGGCATAGCTCGGATCGAGCCGAGCGTGATTACGCGACGGCGGGTAACGGAGGACAGCCAATGTCAGTATTCCGTTTCGCATTCCGTCGATTCTCCTCCTGAGAACCGTTTTCGTACCGCTTGAGATTATTCTTTAAACCGTTGAGTGCCTCTAAGCCAATCGCATTTAACTGAGATTCTCATAAATCAACCGTTCTCTCAACTCTTACCCATCCTCCTACATGGTCTCCCCTCCCTTCGCGTCGACTCAAAAGCATGGCCTCCCCTCCCTTCGAGTCGACTGAAAAGCATGGCCTCCCCTCCCTTTGAGTCGACTCAAAAGCATGGCCTCCCCTCCCTTTGAGTCGACTCAAAAGCATGGCCTCCCCTCCCTTTGAGTCGACTCAAAAGCATGGTCTCCCTTCCCTCCACCCTCCCTTCCTACCTTCTCACCTCCCGCTCCGCTCCTTTACCCTCTTTCCCAAGTTCTTAACTGTGCTGAGGATTCGTAAAATGCCCAGTCCCCTTTTTTAGTTTTGAGGCGCCTCAAAACTAAATGCCCAGTCCCCTACCGCCCCCACCTCGTCACTTCCCCCCTCCACGCCCCTCGTATTCTCACTTCCTGTCCTTTCCAGCCTTCCTTAACCTTGTTTTCTCCCTCCCGTGTTGCTCTCCCCTCTCTCCCTCTCTTCCCCCTCTTCTCGCATTCCTTCCTCCTCCTCCTCACCTGTCCGTCTCAACATGCGATCATAAACCCCAAACTCTGCCCCAGTCTTCAACCACCTCCTGGGTCCCATTTTCCTGCGACTGCCTTGAGACGCCTCAGCATACTCCCTCCTCCCTCTCCTCCTCTCTCCTTCCTTCCACCTTCCTTCCGTTCTCCCCCGCCCCCCAGTATTCGACCATATCGTGGATCTCATTCCCCTGGGATGAACGCCTGAGACGCCTCATGATGCTCTCTTCCTCCCCATCCCCCCATTCCCCTTCCCCCCATTCCCCTTCCCCCCATTCCCCTTCCCCCCATTCCCCTTCCCCCCCGCCCCCCAGTCTTCGACCATATCGTGGATCTCATTCGCCTGCGGCTGACATAGCAGACACCTCAAGTTGCTATGCTCTCTCTCTCTCTCTCTCTTCTCCTTTCGTCCCTCCCGTTCACCATAAACCCTGAACCCTTCCCCCAGTCTTCGACCATATCGTGGATCTCATTCCCCTGGGAGGAACGCCTGAGACGCCTCATGATGCTCTCTTCCTCCCCTTTCTCCTCCCCCCTTCCCCCCATTCCCCATCCCCCCATTCCCCTTCCCCCCATTCCCCTTCCCCCCATTCCCCATCCCCCCATTCCCCTTCCCCCCCTACCCCCAGTCTTCGACCATATAGTGGATCTCATTCCGCTGAAGCACTACCTCCCTGCGCAAGCCGACTCTGCCGCCCTGGTACGCGTTATGAGTAACTCGTTAGCGCATTTGATCACTCTAGTCCACTTCTGTCATGACTTTTGCAGCTACAAGCGCGAGATTACATTCATGATTCTTTGCAGCGCTAAATCGCATCATATAGGGTCCTGCAGTGTCCTTTGTTTGTAGATGACTTTTGAGTCGACTCAAGGGTCCTGCAGTGTCCATTGTAACTCGCATTTGACATCTCTACAATATTTTTGCATTAGAAGTCAGCAGACTAACGCGTATAACATGTATTTCGTTGCATTGTGCAACAGCCAGGTGTGTGGGGGCTTACAGCTTTTCCTCGAAGCATGTCCTCACCCTTTTGCTTCCCCTCTGTAATGCACCACTCTCTATTGCGTACAGAAATACGAAAAGGTGGAGGGCGGGAAGGCAGAGGCGAAGCGAGCGGCCAAGGAGCAATCGAAGAAAGCAAAGAGGCTCAAGGTGCGGCAAGAGACGCAGGGGTGGGTGAGTGAGTGAGTGATTGAGCGATTGAGTGATTGAGTGAGTGAGCAATGGGGCAGCTGAAGGGAAGGCAGAGGCGGAGTGAGCGGCCAAGGAGCAATCGAAGAAAGCAGAGAGGCTCAAGGTGAGGAAACCAGACTCAAGGTGGGTGGGTGAGTGAGCAATGTGCAATGTGCAATTTGCAACGAGGCAGCTGAATGGAAGGTAGACAGAGGCGAGACGAGCAGCGCAAGAGCAGACGAAGAAAGCTAAGAGGCGCAAGGTGAGTGAGTGAGTGAGTGAGTGAGTGAGTGAGCGATGAGCAATGAGGGAATGCAGCTGAATGCAAGGCACGTGCAGCTGGCAAGGTTAGGTTAGCCTCCAGTTACCCCCTGTATTTTGCAGTCCCCACCCACCAGTTGCAGTGTACAGCTTCTTAAAACCAGAATAAGCTACTCTCCACCTGTTACAGTGTACAGCTTCTTAAAACCAGAATTAGCTACACTCTCCACCTTTTACAGTGTACAGCTTCTTAAAACCAGAACTAGCTACACTCTCCACCTTTTACAGTGTACAGCTTCTTAAAACCAGAATAAGCTACACTCCACCTGTTGCACTGTACAGCTTCTTAAAACCGATCTCACCCCGACACCCTACCTCATTTTTAAGAAACAAGAAAAATACCGTCACCCTACCTCCTTCCTTCCTCCTCTTCCCTGATATTCGTGTATCCTGAATGCTTGTGTGCCAAACTCCTTGACCCTTCATCCTTCAACCGTCCTTTCTCTTCTCTCTCCTCATTGTTCCCCAGCTGGACCCTCGTCAGCTCAGCTCGGCCCATCTTCCTCGTTCCCAGCAATTCTGCAGCAGGCTGCACCGTTCTGACCCATCTTAACCTGTCGTCACCATATTTGTCATGCGCTATCATGTCATGTCACGTGTTATCATGTCATGTGTTATCATGTCATGTGTTATCATGTCATGTGTTATCATGTCATGTGTTATCATGTCATGTGTTATCATGTCATGTGTTATCATGACATCTGTTATCATGTCATGTGTTATCATGTCATGTGTTATCATGTCATGTGTTATCATGTCATGTGTTATCATGTCATGTGTTATCATGTCATGTGTTATCATGTCATGTGTTATCATGTCATGTGTTATCATGTCACGTGTTATCATGTCATGTGTTATCATGTCATGCGCTATCATGTCATGTGTTATCATGTCATGTGTTATCATGTCATGCGCTATCATGTCATGCGCTATCATGTCATGTGTTCCATTCCCTCTAGTTTTGAGGCGCCTCAAAACATGCGCTGTCATGTCATGTGTTCCATTCCCTCTAGTTTTGAGGCGCCTCAAAACATGCGCTGTCATGTCATGTGTTCCATCCCCCCCCCCCTCCCCTCCTCCTCTTCTCTTTTCTAACCTATCCTAACCTTTCCTCACCTCACTCCGTGCCCCCCCTCCCCCCACCTCCCAGCTGGACCCGTCGTCAGCCCAGCAGCCCAGCTCACTCATCCTAACCTAGCCATACCGCGTGTTATATAATATCACGTGTTCCACTCCCTCCCCTCCCCCGCCCCCCACCCCCCAGTTGGACCCCTCGTCAGTCCAGCTCACCTCTCATGCAATTCAGCAGCAGGCGACAGGGGGGGCAGGGGGAGGTGCATTCGGGGGAGGTGGATTCGGGGTAGGCAGTGGGGGGTCAGGAGGGGGAGGTGTAGGGGGAGGGGGAGGCGCGGAAGGCAAGAAGGGGAAGGGGAAGGAGGCGGATGACCCGATGGATCAACTGCTGAAGGAGGCCGGTGTGGGGAGGAAGGGGAGGGCAGCAGATTACCAGGAGCTGCGGGCGCGGCTGCAGCAGCGACTAGAGGAACTCCGGAAGAGGCGGAAGGCGGAGAGCGCGTCTGCTGCTAGCGAGTGGCGCAAAAAGCAGAGAGAGAAGGGGTTGGAGGGAGACAAGAAGGGCAAGAAAGGTGGTAAGGAGAAGAAGAAAGGAAAGGGGGGAGGTGGAGGGGGAGGTGGGGCGGAAAGGGAAGGTGGGGTGGGGGGCGGGAAGCGGAAGGAGCAGGAGAGGGAGGAGAGGGGTGGGAAGAACGACGGGAAGAGGCAGAGGGTTGGGAAGGAGAAGGGAGGAGTGAAAGGAGTCAGAGGGGAACAGTTGACATTAGCGGCAGCAGGAGGAGCAGGAGGAGGAAGAGGAGGAAAAGCAGGAGGAGGAGGAGTAGGAGGTGGAGAGAGGCATGGGCTGGCTGATGATGAGGTGATCCCCTTGGATTTGGAGTTTGGGCGGGTGAAACTGGGGGATAAAGCAGCGGCAGGGGCGGGGTTTGGTGGGGGCAAGAAGGGCAAGAGGGACAGCGGCAGCAGCAGCCAGAAGGTATCTGCTAAGAAGCTTCTGGAGCAAGCAGCGAAGATTCAGGAGAAGCTGAAAGGGAGGAAGCTGGGAGATAAAGCCCTGGCTGAAGTGGTACGTTTGTGTGCATATGGCTATGAAAGTACGTGCACGTGCCCGTCTGAAGCTTCTGGAGCAAGCAGCAAGGGGAGGCTCAAGGGGCCCAAGCTGGGGTCATCCTTAAGAATTCGAAAAATGACTCCAGTGAAGGTCAAGGGGCGCAAGCTGGGGTCATTCTTTAGACTTAAAAAAATGAGTCCACTGAAGGTCAAGGGGCGCAAGCCGGGAGACAGAGCCGTGGCTCAAGTAGTGAGTGCGTTAGTGCATGAGGGAGTGGTTATGGTGAGGGTATGTCACGAGGAAAAGGAGTAGGAGAGGGAGTAGGTGAGGGGGTAGGAGAGGAACCTGTGGAGTGGGGCAATGAGCAGGGCCTTTGGTGCCTACGCCAGTCCGCCTTTCGCCTTCTGTCTTCCGTCTTCCGTCTTCCGCCTTCTGCCTTCCGCCTTCCGCCTTCCGCCATCCGCCTTCCACCTTCCGCCTTCCGCCTTCCGCCTTACGCCTTACGTCTTATGTCTTACGTCTTACGTCTTTCGTCTTTCGTCTTTCGTCTTTCGTCTTTCGTCTTCCGTCTTTCGTCTTTCGTCTGTTTGCCCTTATTCACCCCGGAATAGTCACTGGTGGAGTGCAGCAACGAGGGAGCCAAGGTGTTTGACGACCCTAACATGCTGCTATCGTATTCCCCTTGCTTCCCCACAGGAGAGCCACCTCTGGAGTGCTGCAACAAGTAGGGCGTCAGGCGCCAAGGTGTTTGACGACCCTAACATGCTGAGCAAGCAGCAGAAGAGGGAGCAGCGGCAGAAGGAGAAGAGCGCCAAGCTATGGTGAGTGGTGGTGTGGGGTTGGGTGCGGTGGGATAGGATAGGATGGGATGGGTGAGTGGCATTCAACGGTAGTGTGGGGGGGGGGCAAGCCAGGAGAAGAGGGAGCAGCAGCAGAAGGAGAAGAGCGCCAAGCTGTGGTGCATGGTGGTGTGGGGTGGAGAGGGGTGGGCTGCAGTGGGATGCGATGGTGAGTGGCATTAGACGATTCAATGGTGGTGCAGGATAAAAGCTAACATGCCGAGTACGCAGCAGGAGAGGGAGCAGAAGCAGAAGGAGAAGAGCGCCAAGCTGTGTTGGTTGGTGTGGGATGAGGTGGTGTGTGGTGTGGAGTCGTGTCGTATGGGATGGAGTGGAAGGGGATGTGATTGATGATGGCTTGAGAAGGGATGAATAATGGGGAGGGAAGGTGCTTGTGTGACGTCTGTTCAAGTTGTTTCTGCCATGCATGCCTCACACATGCCATGCATGCCTCACACATAGGCATGAGCAACGAGGCGAGGATTTCCTCGCCTCGGAAATCCTCGCCTCGAAATTCCGGGGGTCGAGGCAGGATTTCTGGGAAAAATCCTCGCTCCGCCCCGGTGAGGATTCGAGGCCTCGACTTTTCCTCGAGGCAAATGGGCGAGGATTTTGTATCCTCACGAGGAAAACCTGGATAGGGCTCATTCTTCCCGCACATGTTCCCATTCCCCCCCCCCCCCCCCTAAACCCCCAGCCGCCCAGGTCAAGGAATCCTCGCCCGGGGTCAAGGAATTAATCCTCGAGGCGAGGATTTCAATCCTCGACCCCAAAACCCGGGGGTCGAGGGGGGATTTTCAAGAAAAATCCTCGGCGAGGATTCCTCGACCCGCCCCGGCTATGGCGCGAGGATGAGATCCTCGGGTCAAGGAATCCTCGCCTCGCCCCGTGCTCATGCCTACTCACACATGCCATGCATGCCTTACATGCCATGCATGCCTTACATGCTATGCATGCCTCACATGCCATGCATGCCTCACATGCCATGCATGCCTCACATGCCATGCATGCCTCACATGCCATGCATGCCTCACATGCCATGCATGCCTCACACATGCCATGCATGCCTCACATGCCATGCATGCCTCACACATGCCACGCATACCTCACATGCCATGCATGCCTCACATGCCATGCATGCATGCCTCACACATGCCGTGCATGCCTCACACATGCCGTGCATGCCTCACATGCCATGCATTTCTCACATGCCGTGCATGCCTCACACATGCCATGCATGCCTCACATGCCTCACATGCCATGCATTTCTCACATGCCGTGCATGTGCTGACTTCTCCCAACACCAGGAAGGAGCGCTAGATGGCAGTGCTCAAGGCCATGAGGGCGAAGCAGGAGAAGAGTGAGGGAAACATTTGAATCGACTCAAGAGTCATCTCAATGCATGTATTGTATTTTCCCATGCCACATTTCCCACTTCAGGAAGGAGCGGCAGATGGCAGTGCGCAAGGCTATGAGGGAGAAGCAGGAGAAGCGCAAGGGGAACATCCAGGAGAGGAAGGACAACAAGATTGCCGCCAAGATTGCACGGGTAGGTGAACAAACGGTACAGTAAATAATTTACATGATTAACCATCAATTGATATTTTAATTTTCTCCATCACAATTACTGTGCGTTGCCAATAAGTCACTGTACATTGAAATTTGTTGCAGAGGGAGAAGAAGTTGATGCGGCCAGGCTTCGAAGGGCGAGCAGGGGAGACCGCATTGAATGCCAAGGCGGCAGCTACACCATGACACGGTTGGCTTATTATTACAGACATGAGCTTGTGTAGCACTAAAAGAGGAACTCGGTTAAAAAAATGAATGCTATACCGTGTTTATGCTTTTGTGTTGTACCACGACAAAGCATGGCCCCTCATGAATATCTGTATTAAAAGTTATGCAGGTATAACTGAACATTTACGGATCTAGTGTCGCATTTAGTTTTTTTTTCCCAGTCAGTCCTTTCACTCCAGCATCAAGCCTGACAATAGCGGAGGCACAAGGAACAAATTCACGGCGTTCTCACGCCTTTCTGTCGAACTGCACTAGGAGCGCATTTTCTCGACGACTCCTTGGATATCCCTCATGCAGAGCGGCGATTGCATGGCAGTACAGCCTACAGTTGAGGACATAGGGTATTTTGACAGGCTGGAAAGGCCAAGTCTCATTTTCCATTTCAGGTTCAGTTTCAACAAGTGCGTGGTGGACGAGTGCGAAATGCTGAGATCATGTGACGTCATGCCGAACTTCGGATCAGCCCAATCACGGGCACAGGGCAAAGAACATCTGCAAGTATCGGCTGGAATTCCAGAACGGGTTCCGGAATCGGCAAAACATTTTATGTGAGCAAACAGATTCGCAAGTTTTATGAAAAGGATTCCGGAATCCTCCCACTCCCCCCCATCCCTCCCCGTACCCCCTACCCATTCCCCCCATCCATCTCTCTACCCTTCCTTCGCCATCCCCCTGTTACTTTTCTGTTTTCCTGAGATTTGCGCTCCGGACTTCAACACTTCGAGCGAAACATCTGCTGCCAGCCATCATCGCGAATGGTGTCGCCTCGCCGATCGGGTCTCCCTGCTCCTAGCTGCCCGAACAATATCCCCTATCCGACAATCTTCTCTTCATAGATCCTCGCGAGGATAATTTCGGCTGCCCGTGAGCAATATCATGCCCGACCTACAAGCCTCGCGCTTCCAGAGTCGTGTTATGCCACGCAGTGTGAGAAGGCCTACTCGCTCGATACGCGCAAGGCCCGTGATTCTCAAATCCACCATAGTGGGAGAAGAACCAGCAGTGGAAAAAAACCGATGTGAAAAAGGTGGGCTGACAGATGCGACGCTGACGAAAAGCAGATTCGAACCGGAACCCTTATGCGGAGTGCGACGAGATGCAAGTGTCACCATTGTAGTTTCATCTCGAGTGCAAGGCGACGAAAATCACAAGGGGAGCCGAAAACAACCGATCTGAACCCGACCAAAAGTGACGCAATGAAACACAAGTGCTGCTCCCACTCTAATCACTCCCTAATCAGACCACCTACTCTCGCGTGGCCACTAATTTCCGCACAGCCATACAGTGTAGGAACCGTAGATCAGCCTCCTAAAGAAATTGGTTACCAGGACATGTTACACACGACAACGGTTATACGTACCCAACAAGGTACCTCAACATCCACCAACATCGAAGAACTCTGTAGTGAAGCAACAAAAACTCAACCTGGACAACCTCGTGTGGCTGCGACCAAATTCGCTGGATGCCCAAAACCACCAGTCCCAGTTCGAAGCATTCGCGAAACCATGATTTCGCAAATCACATCTGTCGCCGTGACGTACATCTGTAGGCCAAGGAGATCTTCGCGAACAACCTCGCCCACTCAATTTTCGTACCCACCAGTTTCCCTGGTGTGAAACCGCGACTCGACCAGCCTTGGAAATTTTCGAGCATCAATTTGTTGCCCATAAATTGCTCCTTCTCACACTCACCCAAATCGTCCTGCAAGCTCCCGAACCTACCTTCAGCAGCCAGCCTACTTCTCCTCGGCTTGATTTTCAAGCTCCCGCCACCATGGCTGCTCTTTCCTCCGCCACCGCGGCTTCCGCCTTCTTCGCGTCGAGTGCCGAGCTCGCGGCGAAGGTGAACAACGTGGAGAGCCGCGTGACGATGCGCAAGACTGTGAAGGCCGCGGACAGCCTGAGCCAGTGGTACGGCCCCGATCGCAGCCTGTTCCTGGGCCCCTTCTCCTCGCCTCCCGCGTACCTGAAAGGCGAGTTCCCCGGCGACTACGGTTGGGACACGGCGGGCCTGTCGGCGGACCCCGAGACGTTCGCGAAGAACCGCGAGCTGGAGGTGATTCACTCGCGCTGGGCGCTGCTCGGCGCGCTTGGCATCGTGTTCCCCGAGTTTCTGGCGCGCAACGGCGTGCCACTGGGCGAGGCGGTGTGGTTCAAGGCGGGCGCGCAGATCTTCAGCGAGGGCGGGCTCAACTACCTGGGCAACCCCAGCCTCATCCACGCGCAGAGCATCCTCGCCACGCTCGCCGTCCAGGTCAGTCAGAGACAATGGTCTCGCCTTTCTATTTTTTTCAATCTCTGCCGTCGATCGCCCGGCGTTCAGGATCGCCCCGACGCTTGCTCTTTCTCACGTCTCAAACGCGCTCAATTTCTCTTTCCCCCAGTCGCTTCTTTCCTCGCTTGACGTCCAAACCTCGGGTCGGCGTAACGCACACGTTTCTGACTTTATGCCCTTTTGTAACGTGGTAACCCGGCGGCCTCGTGCAGGTGGTGCTGCTGGGGCTGGTGGAGAGCTACCGCGTGGGCGGGCTGGAGGGATTCCAGGAGGTGGACGACCCGATCTACCCGGGCGGAGCGTTCGACCCGCTGGGGCTGGCGGACGACCCCGACGCGTTTGCGGAGCTGAAGGTGAAGGAGCTGAAGAACGGGCGGCTGGCGCAGGTGGCGGTGCTGGGCTTCTTCGTGCAGGCCATCGTCACCGGCAAGGGGCCCCTCGAGAACCTCGCCGACCACCTCGCCGACCCCGCCGCCAACAACGCCTGGGCCTACGCGCAGAACTTCGTCCCCGGCGCTTAGAGGAGAGAGGAGCGGGAAATGCGTTCCTGGCGCCTGGACGGGTTCGCTGGTAGATAGCAGCTGGTGGCTTTGAAACATTCTTGTACAGCCAGTGATGATTATTACTTGTATGACAGAAGTCTGAAATGCAAAACGAATGCTTGTCACGTACTTTCCACACTTGGATAATCAAACTCGTGACCGGCAAGGAGGGCAAGCCAAGCTGCATAATGAGCAGAGAGGCCTTACATCAACAAGACCCCTTCCTAACGAGTTACTAGGAATCTGCACAGCTGAGCCCTGCATTGCATTCGCTCAACCAGTTGTGCCGCAGTGCACCTATCACATCGCCACATCACGGCTGGAAGTTGTAACGGCAGCTGGAACATCCGTACGCCACCAGATACTTATGAATATCAATTGTTGTTCCGTACCAACTGCCAAGACCAGCCACTTTACAACTTCTGGAGGAGCGTCCCTCGTTTTGGCCAAGCTTCATAAATTGCGTAGAAGAGCCTTCACCTTAGCTCGAATGTCCTCAGGAACGCTCACACTAGGGGCATCATTCGTCTTCCTATCCTTGTTGCTCTCGTCGTCTTCACCTGCCGCCACCTCCGACCCAACTGCCGCTTCCTCCTTCACAACTTCCTTCTCCTTTTCCCTTGGCTTCGCCTCGATTCCATCATCTCTCTCCTTGCTCCTGGCCCCACCTTTCCTGTGCTTTCTCTCTGGAGAGACCGATCTCTTTCTCTTGACCCTCGCTCTGTCGTTCTCCCCGCCCTTCTCACTTCCCCTTCCCTTTTCCCTCTCCCTTCTCGTCTCCTTCTCCCTTCCCTTCTCACGCTCCCTTCCCTTCTCCCTCTCCCTTTCCGTCTCCTTCTCCCTTCCCCTCTGCTCACTCCCCCTCCTCCTTCCTCTCTCCCTTTCCCTCTCCCTCTCCCTCTCCCTCGCCTTCTCACTCTCCTCCAGCTTCCTTCCCTTATCGTAGCCTCTCCGTGTCTTATCCTCCTCATCTATCTTCTTTAAAGAAGACCTCGACCTAGATTCCCCACGCCCTCGTCTCCTGTCATCATTATCCCTCCCTTTCTGCTTCTTCCTCCTGCTAGTTTTATCCCGGCTCTGCCGCTGCTTGCCCCGCCTTTTCCCTCTACCACTGTTGGCAACGCGAGGCGGGGAGGAAGACAGGGAGGAGTGAGATGAGGGAGAAGAGGACCGCGAGGAAGAGGAGGGGGAGGGGGAGGAGGAGGACGAGGAAGGGGAGGGTGATTTTGAATCAGAGCTGAGGGAACACGAGGAGGAGGAAAAGGAGGGAGACTGGGACGAGGATGGGGAGTGGGAGGGTGACCGCCTGCTTTTCTTCCTGCTGTCCCTTGGCTTGCGCTCTCCGCTTGAATCTCTGCTGCTTCCTAAGCTACCTTGCCTTCTTCCTACTCTCCTTCTTCCTTCTCGCCTTTCCCGTCGTTCTCTGCTTTTGCTGCTGCCCCTGCTATCGCTGCTATCCCCTCGCGACTCCTTGCATCTGCTGCTCACACTCCTCAGCTCCTTTTTCCTCGACCTCCCCCTTTCCTTCCCATCCTCCCTCTCCTCAGCAGAACCATCACTCCTTTCTCCTTCCCCTCTTCTTTCCTCTTCCTCAATCCTTTCTCCTTCCTCCCTCCTCTCCGCTTCCTCAATCCTCTCCCCTTCCTCCCTTCTCTCCTCTTCCTCCTCCACCCCACCTGCTGCACATTCAGCAGTCAACAAGCCATTCGCTTTGCCTGCAATCCCCCCTGCATCTGCGTCTGCTTCTCCCTTCACTCCCACACTCCCCGCCCTTACCTCAACTGCTACGTTTCCTCCTGCTGCTGCTGCTTTGCCCATCTTACCCCCTCCCCCAACACCCTTCCCTGCCCCCACCACAGCCTGTCCTGACAAGCCAAGAAGGGGCAATGCTTTGGCTACTGCTGCTGCTGCCGCCGCAGCTGCTGCCACCATTGCAGCATCAGCCTCTGCTGCTGCTGGTAAAGCACTTGTACCACTTATTCCTGTACCAACCTCCCCAGTGACACCTACACCAGTAACACCCGCCCTAGCAGCGCCGGTAGCAGGATCACCAGCAGCAGTTGTGGAGGAGAGCATAGCAGAGAAGAGCTTGGCCTTGCGCCTCCTTTCCAGTCGCCTCTGCTCCTCTGCTGATAGTCCCGCCGCTGCTGTTGCCCCCTCCCCACCCTCAGGTGGACCACCACGAGTGACAGAAGCTGCAGCACCAGCAGCCGTGCAAGCAGCACCAGTAGGCAATCCAGTACCACCCGTGTCTGCAGGAGCCAGGGACCTTGCAGGTGCAGCAGCAGCAACAGCAGCAGCAGGAGGGGTAGCAGCAGACTGAGCCGAACCGGGCCCTGTGCCAGCCCTGTTTGCTCCTCTCCCTGGTCTCCTCCCTCTCAGAATCTCCAACACTGCTGCCGCACTCATGCGGTTACCACCAGTGTTACCAAAAGATGCCCCAGTACCACCAACAGCACCAGTCCTGTAAGTGTGCTTGCCAACCACTGTAGAACCATCAGCCTCCCCCCCCTCAAACACCAAACCAGCAGCCTTGGCAGGTGCAGAAGGAGCGGCAGGGGTAGCAGCAGCAGGGTTAGCACCTGCTGGTGGTGGGGCAGAGACTGCAGGATGGGAAGACGGGGGAAATCTGCTAGTGGCTGCACGCACTGCTGCAGCCACTGCTGCTGCACTGAGCCTACCAGCCGTAGCCGTGCCCTTGGGTGCAAAGCTGCTGCCCTCCTCCTCCTTATCACTCCCTTCCTTATCACTCCCTCCCTTCTCACCCTCCTCTCCCTTACCACCCTTCTCCTCACTCACGATCTCTCCACTCTCTCCCTCCTCTTCCGAACCACTGGTAGCCCTTCCCTCTCCTCTCCTCTTCCCCGCCTCTCCTCTGATCTCCCCCTCCTCTCCCTCACTCCCACTCCCCTCCCCACTCTGTCCCCCCTCTGCTCCCCCCCTCTTCTCCTTCGCACTCTCCCTCTTGCCCCCCTCCTCCCCTCCCTCGGCTTCCCCCTTACCAGAACCATCTGCAGCTAGAGTCACATCTCTTAAGATCACACCTGCCTCTCCCCCCCTCGTTTTCCGCACAGCAGGCACGGGCATTCTGCCTGGCAGCACGGTAGTGGGGGGGCGTGGTCGAGGGGGTGGCTGTGGCATGAGCACCAAGGGGGAATTGGCGCGCTGTTTGAAGGGGGGAAGGGGAAGGGGAAAGAGGAAGGAGAGGGAGAGGGGGGGGGGGGGGTGGGGCGGGGAAGGGAGAACAGAAATTGAAGGGGGGAATCAGAGGAGGAAGATGAGCATTGAGCAGGCACATGCAGTCAGCCTGGCAGCACGGCAGTGGGGGGCGTGGTCGAGGGGGTGGCTGTGGCATGAGCACCAAGGGGGCTTTGGCGCGCTGTGGGGGGAGGAGGGGGGGGAGAACGGAATCAGAGGGAAATGAGAGGGGAATTAGCGCCAGAAGATGAGCAGCTGGAGGCAGCCTTCCTGGCAGGACAGCAGTGGGGGCGAGGCTGGGGGGGTGGCTTTACACACACTCTCACCCCTTCACTCACATCTAGAGCGGATTTCAGTGTCTGCTGGTAGTAGGCATGAAAGGGGTCGCCTGGTAGGAGGAACGAAAAGAGCCCCTCGCCTTGGTCCCTCTGCCGCACGATGCTCTCAAAATCGTGTCCGTTTCGCACAATAAACTCCACCATCTTCCCCACCACCCCCCGCACCCACTCTGGTACATTCAATGCCTCTGCTACCTCTCCTTTTGCCCCAAGAACACCACCGCTACCCACTCTGGTACTTCTGTTGCCTTTGAAAGCTGACTCACCTCTAGAGCAGTGTTGAGGGTTCGTTGGTAGTAGGCGTGAAAGGGGTCACCAGGTAAGAGAAACGGGAAGCGCCCCTCGCCTTGATCCCTCTGCCGCACGATGCTCTCAAACTCGTGTCCGTTTCGCACGATAAACTCCACCATCTTCCCCACCACCCCCCGCACTGACTCTGGCACCTCTGCCTCCCCAACTGCTGCTGCTGCTCCTCCTGCTGCTGCTGCTCCTCCTCCTCCTGCTGCTCCTCCTGCTGCCCCTATGGCCCCTTCCCCCTCTTCTTCGCCCATACCTCTTCCTCCTCCCTCCCCTCCTTCCTCCCCTCCTTCCTCCCCTTCTCCCGTTCCTCCCTCTTCACCCTCTCCTCCTCTATCCCGTCCCCCTCTCTCCTCTGCTGTCTCCATGCCAGGAGGGGGAGGCTCATCTGATGCCAGGGGGGGTTCGACTGGGGGAGGTTTTTCAGAGAAGGTATCACCTTCAAAAAGAACCTCAGAAGAGACGCCTCCACCTCCCTCCTCTGGTGCCTCCTCCAATGCCTCTACTCCAGGAGCGCCAGACTCAGTACTCGCGCTTTCTCCCTCCGCAACCCTTTCCTCTTCCTCCTCCTCTTGCTTCCCTTGTTGCCTTTCACGCCCCTCTATGTCGCGTCCCTCTCTCCCTTCACTATCCGGCCCTCCATCTCTCTTTTCAGCCCCTTCATCTCCCTGCTCCTGCCAATCCGCCTCCTCCTTCTTCCCCTCCATCTCCCCCTCCTTCTCCTCACCCTCCTCCTCGTCATCCCCATAAGCAGCACCAAGTAGCGTAACAGCACTCCCCCTTTCTACACTCACCCTCCCGCCCCTCTCACCGCTCCCTCTCCCCTTCTCTCCCCCCTTCCCCTCACCCCCACCCATCTCCACTTTCCCCTCCTTTCCCCCACCCCCTCCCCCCTTCCCCTTTCCCCCTCCCCCGTCCCCCTTCCCCTTCCCCCCCGCCCCTACAACCTGCGAGTTTGCCACTAAGAACCGGAAGAAGGGGTGCAAGGGGTGGTCAGGGGAGAGGAAGGCGAAGGCGGGGTTGTCCTTCTGCTTCACTCGGAGCACGATCTCGGCTTGGGGCCCTGCTTTTCCCACAAAGGCTGCTGTGCGGGTCATGATGGTGTATATCTTCTCTGTTGGGGGCTGGAAAAAGAAGGGGGGGCACGGGGAGAAAGGGGGTGGGTGGAGGGGGTGGTCAGGCGAGAGGAAGGCGAAGGCGGGGTTGTCTTTCTGCTTCACTCGCAGCACGATCTCTGCCTGTGCACCTGCTCTAGCCACGAATGATGCTGTTCTTGCTATAATCGTGTAGACCTTCTCTGTTGGGGGCTGGAGAGCCAAGGGAGAAGTAAGGGAGGAAGGGGGAAGGGAAGAACAGGGAAGCATGCAGGGGGTGGTCGGGGGAGAGGAAGGCGAAGGAGGGGTTGTCCTTCTGCTTCACTTGGAGACCAATCTCGGCATGTGCGCTCGAGTGATGAAGTGCACACGGGTGATGAACGGGTGCTGCACAATCTCGGCTTGTGCGCCTGCACAGGTGATGAAGGATGCTGCTCGAGTCATGATGGTGTGGACCTAAGTGCTTTTCTGTTGGGGGCTGGAGCCTGGAGGAGGAGGGCGGGGAAAAGAAAGGGAAGAGAGTGTGGAGGAAAGGTGCAGGGTAATTGGGGGGGAGAGGAAGGCGAAGGCAGGGCTGTCCTTGTGATTCACTCAGGGAACGTCAGAGAACGATCTCTGCCTGTGCACCCGCACGGAAAATAGAGGATGCTGTGCGGTGCGGGTCATGACAGTGTAGATCTGCTCTGTTGGGGGCTGGGGAACGAAAGGGGGAGGGGGGAAGGGAGGGAGGGAGAGGGGGAGGGAACCGGATAGGGGGGATGTTCGCCTTCGAGTCATGGTGGTGTAGAGTAGACCTTCTTGGGGGCTGGAGAACGAAGGAGGGTACAGGGGGGGGGGGAGTCTGGAGGGGGGGGGGGGGGAAGAGGAGAGAGGGGATGGTCGGGCGAGAGGTTGTCCTTCTGCTTGACACGAAAAACGATTTTGGGTTGGGGTCTGCTTTTCATAAAAGCCACTTTACCAAGGGAAGACTTCCTCCATAATGCGGGGATTCGGGGAATGCCTTCGTCTCTGCAACAACGGCCATATAATCCATACAAGGAGGCAAGGCCGTTGTATGGATTATATTGCCGTTTTACAAGAAGGCCACAAAACCCAAGGAGGAAAGCAACAAGACACGCATCTGTTTCAGGACAAAGCCATAAAGCTTAAGCCCCAGAATAAGATGCGTGTTTTGCCTGGAATAATTTATGAAACGTACCAGGCAATCGAGTAGCTCTGGGGGCACAGCAAATGGCGGCACGAATGCAGCGGTTTTGTCTGCTCCTGCAGCTGGCACAGCTATTTCTTCTGCTGCTGCTGCTGGTTCAGCTGTCGTAGTTGCTGCTGCTGCTGCTGCCGCTGCTGCAGTTGGTTCAGGTGGTGCTGCTGTTCGTCCAGCACCAGATTCCTCTCCTCCACCACCACCATGCACCGCACTGCTGGTGCTTAGATAAGCGCCGCTGGCAGCAGCAACACCGCCAGCGGCAGCGGCAGCAGCAGCAGCATGGGGAGATGACTGCTGGGTTTCTTGCTCCAGGGGTGGATGAGAGGAGGAGTAGTTAAAGGCCACCGCAGCATAGGCGGGGCGAGTGGACGCCTGGTGGGCTGGATGGGGAGTGACAGTGGTCGACGAAAAACGATGGATTGGAGGAGAGAGAAAAGGAAGGATTGGAATGGTGTAGAACGAACCAAGGCGTGAGGGATCAAGTGATGGGTGACGGAAATTGCACAATTCCTGCCCCCTATCCATGACATGAAGAGAAATTGCACAATACAAGTGGAGAAAAACCGTAACACGGAAAGGAAAGAACATGCACTTCATTGACGAATCAAAAGCCTGGTCCTGATTCATGTACATTAAATCCTCACAAGTACGGCGGAAGGGTACTGCTGAGAGAGAAGCCTGCAGCTTGGGTCAAGACAGGAGAAAGAAGAATGTTATTCAAGCATTGAATGAAGCAGGGGAGAGGCTGTGAATGTGAGCCTTAATTGAGGGTGAGTTGGGGGAGGCCCCAGGCCAAGGCTGAGGGGGGGTTATCACACTAAAACCAAGCAAGAAGAGAGGGTGAGGCTGCCAAATCGTTAACAGCAGAGAAAAAAAGCAAAAAAAATGCTGGAAAATCTTCAACAAGGAAGTACCGACACGACAAGAACATGCAAGTCAACCAGAGTGAGTATGCGAATGAAATAACCAAGCACCCACGTCTCGTACCCTGACCTGATGCAGTCTCTGCCGCTGCTAATCCTCCTCCTCTGCTGCGTGCTGCCATCTCCCACACATCCTCCGTCCCTCCAGCCCCTCGCTCCCCTCGTCCCCCTCCCCATCCCTCCATCACTCCACCACCAAAACCACCACCACCACCACCACCACCGCCACCGCTGCCTCCCATCGCACCCCCTTGCCTCTCTGCCTCTGCTTCCGCTTCCGCTTTTCTCTGCGCCTCTGCCTCCGCTGCCTTCCGCCTCTCCTCCCTCTCCGCCATATCCAACTCCACATATCTCTCTTTCTCGATCTCCTCCTCCTCCCCACCCTCTCCTCTCCCCCCTCCTCGTCCTCCCTTTTTCCTCCGGATCTTTTTAAGATCGTCCAATAGGTGTCTGACATCGAAGCGGTCGATCATTAGAGAATCTTCCCCTTTCCAGGGGAGGAGCCCGCCGCCGCCCGCCACGTCGGCTGCCACGTCATCGTCCTCGTGGATAAGGCATGGCCGGCCGACCAACGACAGCTCGTTGGGGGTGGGAGCGCAGGCTTTCACTTGGCGGGAGAGCCACGCAGGTTCCTCAAATTGCGGCTGCTGCTGCAAGTGCTGCTGACGGCGATGCTGCTGCTGCTGCTGTTGCCGCCGCGATCCGCGTTGAAAAGGGTACGACGAACCTTGCTCGTACGGATACGAATCATGCTCGTCGGGATACGTGTCGCCGTAAGCAGCAGGCGACGGGGAGCGACGAGCAGCATCGCTGCTGCTGCGGGGGACAGCAGCTGCATCAGACGACGGGTGCGGTGACGGGGGTTTGGGAGCCGATCTGCCCCACATGCTGTGCGCGAAGTACTTCTCGCGCGATGCTTTCTGACCGTCGATCTGGTGACGCAATTCCGAGATTATTGCCCTCACCAGATTATCGACTTCACGAGGGTCGCCACGAAACGCTTTCCGACCCTCAATCTGGAGACACACTTCAGGATAATTGACTTCACGAGGGTCGCCACAAGGCGCTTTCTGACCCTCAATCTGGCGACGACACACTTCCGGGTAATTGACTTCACGAAACTCTCTCACGAGTCGCTTCCTGACCGTCACGAGGTCGGACTATTGTCTTCACGCCATTGCTCCGGCCGATGCCGTGCTAAGCACTCACTCGCTAACTCTCCCCCGACGTTACTCTGACGCTATCGTTATGGCACCGTTCGGACGTCGAGCTCCCCAGCCGCTTAATCTGGCAATTCGCCGACTTCCACTCGCGGTTCTTAGGGTCCTTGTTGCCGCAATCCAGGTTTACGAATATTCGCCTCGCTAGACCAAAACCGTGCCATGCGTGCAAGCAACGCAGAGATGTCCGAGGGACCGGAGAAGGCGGGGCGGGGAGGTAAGATGCAGAGCATGAGAAATCGAGGTGAGTGGAGAGGAATGAAGCTTCAAAGACAGGCCGTAGCAAGAACCGGGGAGAAGGCGAGTCGGGAAATGATAGACATAAGGAGAGCAAATGCGAGAGAAACCCAGGTGAAAGCTGAGAGCAGAGAGGCAAGGTCGGCGGAAGAAATCGAGGTTTGGCGATGATTTTGAAACACGCCGAAATATTGAAACGCCAAGTGTAAATGTGTTGAGGTACAGCGGGTATGCTCTATGCTCCAAATCTGCGACTTAGTCGAATAGGGCCCGTACGGTAGGGGCAAAATGGATGTTAAAAAGATTCGAACACACACAACAAAGTGTCCAACAACAGTGAAACACTCAAACCCACGCACAAAAGCAAGAAACGACACATCAGCATTCACACAAGGAGTGACGCGGCAACACAACCGAGCAACAACAAAACTCTCAAGCGCACAACTAAAAGAAGATTAATCAAACACACCCGGCCCAGCAAAAGTAAGCACACTCCCGAAAGCAAGCGCAACTGAAAAACACACACGTCGGAAAGGAATCTAGTGCTCTCTCAACGCATCCACTCAGCCGAGTCCACCCAGCCGTCCATGACGGCCATCGCCTGCACCACATGCTGCCGGTACTCTTGTGTAACAACACATGGAGCACAGTTTAGGCCCAAGCGAGGGGAGGCACGTTCGAGACGGTCAATGACCGACGGGTCTCGAATGTTGAACAGAATGTGAAGGTCCCTCGGGATGAGCCCGATGGACCGCGCATAACCGACCAACATCTCGATCGCCATGCGGCTGAGATGCCGGCGATTGCGTGAATCATGAACGGGCTGCGCAATTGTCGGGACACGGAGATACCACGAGCCACATGCGGGGGTGCCAAGAGGTTCCAAAAGCGAGAGGATCCTCGCCACATGGGTCGCATATCTCATCGTCGTTGTCGCACGTAACGAACTGGACCGCATCCATGCGGTCCTCGTCGTCCCAGGGCAGCCGTGACAAATTCTCAGCGACTGGCAGGAACTCGGCGGGCAAGTTATGTTCCTGCTCAGTGGCTGTGGTGCCGACCAGGGGGAGCCTTGCGAGCCAGTTAGCAGGTAGGATACCCGTCCGCCACCAGCACTTCTGGACTGTCTCGGGCTCGATCGAGAACCACGAGTCCGAGAGCCAGGTTATGATCAGCACCATGTCGGGCTTGTACTGCAACAGCATTCCCTCGCTCTGAAACTCTTCCCATTCGCAAAACATGTCGAGGGTCAGGAACGAGCGGTACCGAGCCTTAAGTGTCGCGATGAGGCCCTGGTCCAGTGGTTGCATGAAGCAGGTAGTGTTAGGCGGGAAAAATACGAGACGAACGTTGCTGAGCGCGCGGGTTCGGAAGCCTAAATTGTCTGCTGATGTGGCGAGCGGAGACAGCAGGTGGTGGCAGCTCGCGTTGTCCAGCAGGATGACGACGCTGCGGCCTTCGGCGAAACAGCACGCGTTGATGTGCTCAATGTACTCAGTGAATAACTGCGATGAACAAGAAATACGAAATTAGCTGTGTGATTGTCGGATTTAACAAAACTACTGGACAACGAAAGCAATAGCAACAACCGATCAACCAAGAAATGCGAGGAACAATGTAGAAATGATGTGAACGGGAAACTATCAGCCACTTACCACGCTAGTCATCCAGCCGGAACCGTTGCTGCGCCACACGCACTTTGTCGCAGGGTCGAACTTCTTACGGGCGAAGCAACGCGGATTGGCGGTTTTGCTCACAATGAGGGGCTTGAACATCTGCGAGCCATCAGCGTTGCACAATAGCGCGATGGTTATGCGGTCCTTCCTGTTTTTTCCGCCACTCACAGGGCCGTCAGCGAAAGTCTTTTTTGGAATCTGGTTCTACGCGCATCCAGTTTCGTCATAGTTGAAGCAGTCGCGAGGCGCAACTGCGAGCAGAGTGAGAAACTGCGGGCACGTGTTCTTTGTCGTCATCATCGCGCCAAGGCCCTGGTCGTTAGCTTCACCATGTCTGTGTCGCCATTTATAACCCATCCGCTTCAGTGCTTTCTGCACCCACCCCACGCTAGCTTTATATCCGACTGGAACGCCAGCGTCTGGTGCCATAATCCGGGCACGTTGTTGGATGACACCGATGGTGATGGGCAGCCCACCCTTTGCCGCCTTGCCCAACCATGACTTCAGGCGCTGCTCAAGCAGTGGGTAGAACGCGGAACGCAGGCGTCGATTGGCGGAGCTCTCAGGCCCAAGAGCCTTCCACTTGGCCGCCTCCTTCAGAATTTTCCCCACGGTGCTGGGGTCGGAATACATACCGTATCTGGTAAAACACCACCTTGCGAGGACGCCGAGTCGAAGGTGAGCATGAGTTTCATCATGTCGGCAGATTCCGACCTTCATAGCAATCGTCAGCGCTGTCCGTCAAAGTAACCTCATTGTGACAAGCCGGTTGAGCTCGGCGATGAAGTTTGGTTCGTAAGTCGAAGCTGATCTGGCGGATTGTAAATTCGACCTCTGTCGGCCTCATCTGCCGAGGGGGTACGTAGGCATGCCTCTGTCAGTGTGCATGCACAGGTGCCAGGTGGACGGGGGTACTAGCAGGCAGTTTGTGATTTTGTGTTCGCTCCCACGTTCCGTCGTGATTACGTAGCATCGCCCTGGCAAGCGCGTATTGGCTTGGCACAATCCAACACAATTCACGGGGATTTTCCGAGCTCGCACTCGCGGGTTGGTTGGCGACACTAGGATGCTGTAATCGTGCCCAATTCGGGAGCCGCGCGTCGATGGTCGGTGGCATTATGCGACTGTCGTGACTGGCTAGTATGTTTATTGCGCTTTTTTAGCTAAAACTAACAGTACCTGTACACCGTACAGGCGGAGTACATCGTAGTGGATCCTATCGAATTCCGGACTTTGGAGTATTATATGGAGTAAAATGTCACGGACCTAATGGCATACCCGCTGTACACCTACAGTATCAACAGCAAAATGCGCGGACACGTGTCCTACCAGTGTCTCGACAAATGAGCGGGTGCGCAGTGTTATGAAATAGGAAGTGTCAATGTACTAAAACGTGAGAATACAATGTCGCTATTGCAATGAGGGCACGAGGTTATGTAGGAGTTGGCATACTTGGGCGATAACCTTGGAACGTGGGGAGGTTCGACAATGTGGCGACAGTGCCGGACGCGACTCGGGAAAGGGTTGGGCCGATAATTGATGCCAAACGTGACGAGTCGAGGAAGTCGGGTGTACGCGCTAGCGTACAACTCAGTAAGGAATGGGAATTCCTTACACTACCCCCCCCTCCTAAACGAGACCGCGGGCATGGGAAACATTGAGACGCTGATAATACGCTGTTAGAATTGGATGCGATTCTCGCTCAGCGAGCGGCACCCAACTGTCGTCTTCGGACGTGCGATCGCGCCAGCGGATAAGAAAATCAACCATCCGACGGTTCAGCTGCGTTGTGACTAGATGGCCAAGAATTTTCGAAGGCTCGGTTGTCGGTTCCTGCAGAGGTGTCAGTTGCGGTACAACGCGTTGGCGCACCAATTCTGACGAACTTGGGACGTAGGGCCGTAAGAGGCTGACGTGGAACGCCGGGTGGTGACACCAATCAGCCGGGAGTCACAGGTGAGCCATGACAGGTGTTACCATATTCGTCACTTGAAAGGGTCCGCAGAATCTGGGGCAGAGTTTGCTCGGGATCGGCAGCCGCAAATTGCGAGTGTCGAGGAGGACGAGATCCCCCACTTTGTAAGTGACGTCACGTCGATGGCGATCGATTTGTTGGCTTGTGACTAGGTTGGCTTTCCGGATGGCCTCGACTGCTTTTTCTCGGGCGGCGAGAATGTCTTCAGCAAATTTCTGGGACCGGGGCACAGGTGTCTCGATGTTCGGGGTAGAGGGTACCATAGGGTCCTGTCCGTAATTTAGGAAAAACGGGGATTGATGCGTTGTCGCGGAGGGCGCGTTGTTATACGCGAATTCCAGCAGCGGAAGGGATTTCTCCCATGTTTGTGGGTCAGTACAGGTGGTTCGAATGAGCTGCTCCATAGTTTGGTTGACTCGTTCGGTCTGCCCATCGGTCTATAGGTGGTAGGCAGAGGAAAACTATAGTTTGGTGCCGAACTCGTCCCACAGGTGGCGCCAGAAATTCGATGTGAATTTCGGGTCTCGGTTGGAAATAATTGCGGTGGGCAGTCCGTGCAGCCGAATGACATTGGCGATGAATAGTTGAGCAGTTTACTCGGCTGTGATTGTCTGTTGGCAGGCGATGAAGTGCGCCGTTTTCGTGAGTCGATCGACGACCACGAGGATGGCGTCATTTCCGCTGGGACAGGTTGGCAGTCCTGTCACATAGTCCATCGTGGTGTATTGCCATGGTCGTTTGGGCGGATCCAACAGCTGCTGTAGGCCGACTGCTCGCTGATGAAAAGATTTCATGATCTGGCAGGCGGTGCAGGAGGACACGTACTTGCGCACGTTGTCAGCCATGTTCGGCCAATAGTAGTTGCGCTGCAACGTCTTCGTAGTTTTGTCAACTCCGAAATGCCCGGAAGTAGGGTTGTCGTGGGATTCCTGTATTACGAGGGTACGAAGTAAATCTTAGCCGGGTACCCAAATGCGGGAAGTATCACGCTTATTAAAATGGTGTCCCGGGGCGGTGGTGTGCTGTTGATAAATAGCAGAGCGGAAGAAAGGGTCGAGCGCGTAGCCGTGGTTAAATAGTTCGGTAAGTAATGGGCTGGTCTGGGCGATTAGTATGGCGGTGGTATGGGCAGTAGGTCGGGTCAAGGCATCGGCGATATTGTTGGCGCCCTGTTTGTAGGTGATGGTGTAATGGAAATTCAACTCGAGGAAATCGAGCCATCGGATCTATCGCGGGTTGAGATTCGGTTGGGCTCGCAGGTACTGTGACGCACCGTGGCCATTTCGCACCGTGACGTCAGTGCCTGTCAGGTAGCACCGCCAGGTTTTGAACACGTAGATGATTGCCAACATTTCTTTGTCGTGGACTGTATAATTTTTCTCCGCGCCCTGCAGCTTCCGTGATTCGTAGGCGACTGGCTGTAACCCGTCGCCGAAATCCTGTATGAGAACTGCGCC